AGTTTGGCACACCACGATCCGTCTCTGTCTGCCTAAATCCTAACAGATTTGGTGGAGAATGCGCGGCTCCGTGTGTGCCATTCTCTGGATTGTTTTGAGGGAGTTTTCTCTGTTTCTTTTTTTTCGGCGTGTGGGAGCAACAGCACGTTATCTGGAAGGGGAGAAATCCCAGTGGACGCTGAAAGGGCTCGCTTTTGGATGGGCTTGCTCTTGCTCCCTCACTTTCTCTGTTTTGTGTTTAAATTGAATTTTTTGACGCGGAAAAGATGTTGGTCGACCTCTCGAACAGTCCGGACAAAGAAAATAAGGTAAGCAGACACCTTTTTTAATATGTAAAGTCTGCATAATTGGATACTAGCTAAATTTTGAGCTGTCCCGGAGGTCTGTCCAAATCTCTCTAAATCAAAATTTCTTTGTTTTGTCTTTGTCACGTCTTTGTCATGTCTTATGTTGTAGAAAACAGGTTAGCTGTGTGGGTAACCAGTCCCTATAGGAAAAAAGAACCCCTTGACGTATCGGGGTCCCTGTCCTTTGAAGTAGTCAGGGCAGAGAAAGAGTAATTACAGGGTAGAGGCCCTTTTTAGAGTAATTACCGGGGTAGAGGCCCCTTGAGAAGAGAAAAAGAGTAATTACAGGGTAGAGGCCCTTTTCTGAGTAATTACCGGGGTAGAGGCCCCTTGCTAGCCAGAGAAAAGTGTTGGATCCAAAAGTGTAAAATTAAAAGCAATAAAAAGGGAAACGTGTTAAGGAGGCCTTTGTTACAAAAGCTTTGAAATTGACGAATTTCAGGCTGATAAATGACAAAAGTAAAGAAGCAACAATATTTCAGTGATCACGGTTTAAATTACATACAGAAAAAGGGAGTTTTTGTTTTTGGCGTGAACAGAGTTCACCGGAGAATGCAGAGTTTTATCTAAAGTTGAGCTATGAGAGCTTTCGTGAGTTATTTACATTTTTTGCCGAGTTTTATCTACAGTTGAGCTATGAGAGGGTTGTATCCAACAGTTGTTTTTGTTTTTTAGAAAGAGATTTTAAGTTTAAATTAGTTTGCTACCTCGATAAAATAGAAGCGTAAACGTTAAAGACAAGAGTGCCTTTTGTTACTAGTGTGGAAAGTGATCACTTCTAGACTTGGATGACAAAAGTATAAAGAACAACATCAGTTATATTCGCTTAACAAAGTAATCTTGAAAGTTATTCTTCTGTATCTTTTTGCCTGTGTGTGCACATCTCTATCTGCTGCCGTTGTCAGGGAAACGGCCCCCACCTTCGCTGCTCTGGCTCTGAATCAAAGCTACTGCTTTAGGATTTTGGCTTTTCATAGTAGTTATTCCGTTAAATTTGCGAAATTTGCCATTTGAACATTGTGTTAAGACACAGTTAAACGTTTTTAAACACCATTAGTGAATAAGTTTTGAATATTATATGTTTTTGAAACCCAAATATTAGTGCTAAAAGCTGTGCAATTCTTTTTAGACCTAACATATTTCTAGATTCCATTCTTTTAAATCTGCTGCTTATTTTGTGAGTCCATTATTGTATCTGATATTTCATAGCTGTTAGTGAGAATTTTTTTATGTTTTTATTTTAGTTACAAAAGCCGTTTTTCAAACATTTAAATTAGAATCTGTTAAAAGTGATTAATGATTGTAGACTTCGTCTAAAAAAGAAAGAGGGAATTAGGCTGTAAAAGTATTATATTATTAAGTTAAACTACCCAATTCACATGCAAGTGGTGACTTTTGTTTTTGTTTTGACTACACGCCTGACCTTACTGTTGCTGATGCCACAGCAGAGGAGACTGGTCTAAAATGTGCTCCAATTCATACTGACTTCATTTGAAAAATGCTGCAATTATTTTAAATTAGTAAAATATATGCTGAGATAAATGCATAGATAATTAAACACACAGTGCAAAAGTACATAATACATATTTTAAAGTTTAAGAAGGTTTAAGAGATTTGAGTCTTGTTTTTTATATTGAGAGTTTCTGGTTTTAAAATGTCATCATTAGTAAGATAATAAGTAATCTTTTATTTACATAGCGCTTGGGAAAACCCAGAGCGCTCCAAAATTGTTTTGACTTCAGAGAGAAAAACAATCTCATTCGCATACTGATATCTATTGTTTTTTAAATTGGCCGTCTCAAGGATTGTTTTTCAGACTCTGCCTCACTGTACGAGAGGTCACTGCTGGACACTGGACAGCGCAAAGCCCACCCAGCCACAGGTCACAGATCAAAGAGCAAAGGGAAATGCCACCTCCTTGCCCCTCCCCCCACTACAGAAGTAAGTGGGAGTGAGACCGGGGCCACAAAGTGGAGGTTTCTGGAGGCAGTGATGGGTGGAGCGTCAGGGAGAGATCTGAATGAGAGTTGAGAGTGTGTCCAGTTGGTTTACATCACCACAGTGTGACCTTTGACACCTACGGGTGGTTTGAGGAGTCTGGAGAAACAACCCCAAAATTCACACACACACACACACACACACACACATACATTCATACACTCACACATTCACATTTACATATAGATACATGAAAAAGCAGAACATGAGAAAAAAGCATTTTAAAAGTTTACTCCAATGTAAACATATTTTTAATTGTCTATCACTTGAATCTTTATTTGAATCAGTATTTTTTGAGACCAGAAATGTTCATTTGAATTCTATATTGTCATGGACTAATTGACGTCTGTCCTGACACTTTTGATTTGTTGATTTTGTACTGTGTGAAGTAATTACATTGATTAGGATTACATCTGATAAAAACACAAATTAGAGAAGTAAACTGAATCATTGCGCTTGCTTTTGTCTGAGAGACATTAGCAACAGCATGAATAGAAATTGTCTTTAAAGTAGAATCAAAATGACTTAACCATAGAAAGTAACTATTGCATAACAAGCTGTGTACAGGAACTGAGACACTGCACCATTGACCAGAAGTGCATCGCAAATGACCTGATGTGCTTCAACTGAAAAGACTGTATCTGGAGATCCTGATGTGCATCTGGAGTGACCAAAACCATGGCTTGGACCCTACTGATGTCCAAGATGACATCTCTATGACCTGACCTGATGACGACTGAGACTCACCCTGAGGACCCTGAGGATCTGAGGACCTGAGGACCTGAGGATCTGAGGACCTGAGAGAAAATACTGGGGAGTGATGTTTATATTTTTGAAATCATACATTGATGAGTGCTAAATGAGAGAGATACTCATGATTCTTTCTTTTGTTTTTGTTTGTCCCTAGCTTCTGGACATCTGATGATCTATTGGACACAGACATTTGCAGAACAAGAACCAGCCAATGAAAACGTCTATTGCCGATGCTATTGCTACAACCACAACTGTGACCAAATGCAATATACATGTTAAGTATTCAGACATCTGACAGACAAAAACTTTGAAAATGATAAAGTATAAGTATTGTAGCGTTTTAGTAGATGTTAAATAGTAGTAAAAAAGTAGAATTGTCCTTCCTTTGTTGTTCATAAACATTTCCACATAAGAGTTAGAGTTAGAAATATGCCTTAACTCACAAATAAGCTGCAACCAAGCTTTAGAGCCACAATAGTGTAGAAATAGAGACATCAACCATAGATTCTTTCAAAAATAGAGATTATTTGTAGCCAGTGCTAATATCAAATGGTAAAGGGACCATTTCACAAGCATTTACTTCAAAAGTAGATAAAGTTACTTACAGTTTTATGTACAGTTTTATTAGATACTTGCCAAATTCACTTGTGTTCACACATGAGTGAATGTTGACAATACAAAAAGTTCATATGAGTGTAGCCTAGATTAATGCCTAGATCAATGAGATAGATTAGAACCAACAGAGATTCAAAAGCATTTAAAAGCATTTTGATGTATTTGTGTATAGCACAAAAACACAATAGTAGATATTTAGATATTGAGAAGTTTCCAGCGCAAACACCATTGTAGAATAACTGACCCCAACCCCAAACCTAATTAGCTACTATTAGGATAATACTAATTTGATTAATGATGTACATTCATCCCAAACTGCCTGACAATAATATCTTTAGATAATAAAAAGTAATAAATCACTGACCACTATAGAAGTGTAAATGTTGACCATTTGCCTTACTGTGTTCACAGTTTTATTCCTGAGAATGAGAATAGACATGGATCAAAATCCCACTAACAATAAGCCACTGATAATGAGAGTATAAACCACAGAGAGATTTATTAGATTAAAATGTATGTTTAAGAATATGGCTCAATAGAAGCAAATATACAAACATATTTGTAAATAGATTAGAATAGTTTAAACTATAGTGAATAGAGAGTAAAGTACACAGTCTAAGATTGATAAGTGAAAATAATACAGTGAAATAAGTGAAGTGTAAACAATCAGCATTAGAATAAAAGTATAGAGTAATAAAAGTGAAATTAGCTTCAAATTTGAGACTCAGCTCGTTTTTGTCTGTGTTTTGACTGAATCTGCTGAGTTCTTGTGTGTCCAATAGTGTTTGTTTGTTTTTATTTTAGATTTGTTTTTTGTTTGTTTATTTACTTTATTTGTGTTTTTTATTTTTTCCCAGGATAGAGGATAAAATCCACTGATATTGATTTGATGATTATGATTTTAATGCATACATTTTCTTTGTTTTTAATAATTTTTAAAAGTTTTTTTTTGAATTTTTTTTTTTTTCTTTTCTCACTTTATTGATTGATCAAATTGAATGATCACATGTGATTATGTGATCAAAGGGGAGGGTGTTAGTATTAGATAGCAATATGGCCTACGTGCAGGACTGTACAAGGACTCTACAAGGACTCCATGTTATGACTATGATTTGACTGTCTCTTTGTGACACGTATGTCTTTCGATGTGTGACGTGACAATGACTATATAAACTGTGTACTGCCTTTATTCTGTCTGAGAGAAAGAAACAGGGTAAACCAGTGGAACTTGAGAGAAACTTAAATAAACTTCCAGAGTTTGGCACACCACGATCCGTCTCTGTCTGCCTAAATCCTAACACCTCCCTGTAAATCTCTGGCTAAAACTGTCAGTTTGCGCTCAAACGCTAACACCTCCTCCAGCATGTGTAGCGCTGTGCCTCCTCTCCCCTGAAGGGTTGTGTTCAGCATGTTCAGGTTCGCTGTCATGTCCACCATGAAGTGCTGCTTTTCCAGCCACTCTGGCTGTTCCAGCTCAGGAAAGGTGAGCCCTTTGCTGCTCATGAAAGTCTTCACCTCTCCCAGACATGCAGCAAAACGTTTCAGCACCTCTCCCCTGGACAGCCACCGGACTCGGTTGTGCAGCATGAGATCAGAGTATGTGCTGTCCACCTCATCCAGTAGCGAACGGAACTGGCGGTGATTTAAACCTTTTGCCATTATTTTATTGACAATCTGAATGACAAGAATCATGACCTCTGTGCATTCTGGAGGAAAAGTTTGCGCGCACAATGCCTCTTGGTGCAGGATGCAGTGAAAAGTGAGCAGCTGTCTATCCAGTGACTTCTGCAGCAAGACCACAAAGCCCTTGTGCGCTCCAGTCATACTCGGTGCCCCATCAGTAGCCACTGACACTAGGTGGGTTGTTTTTATTTCTTTGGCTCATAAACAATCAAGCACGGCCTCACAGATGTCCTCCCCCTGTGTCTGGCCTTTTAGTGGTATCGGCTCAACCATTTCTTCCTGCGGTCCAGCAGAGTTCACATATCGGCAGAACAGTGCTATTTGTTCAATGTCACTTTTGTCTTTGGACTAGTCACAGGCTGCAGCTGAATTTATGTCTTTAATCTGCTGTTTTGTGACATTTTCTGCCATTTTTATGGTTCTGTCTTTGACTGTCCTCGCAGAGAGCGGCATCTCTCTGATTTTCTACACAATTTCATGCTTGTTTTTAAAGTCCGCGAATATTAAGGAATGATTGTTTTATATAATCTCCATTTGTGAACGGTTTCCCATGCCTGACTATTTCCTGAGCGGCCACAAAACTTTGTAATTGAATTTGCAGACTTCACCCACTTCTTGAAGTGATTTCTCGTCAGATCAGCCTTCCGCATCAGTTCCGAAACCGCTTTTTTTCTCTCTTCTCGTTCTGAATATTTTTCAGCAAAGGCTCTGTGTGTATTGTTGAAATGTCTTGCGACATTTGACCGTTTGTTGTTAGACAGTTTTTCTCCGCAAATTAGGCATACTGGTAGGCCACTCTCATCAGAGGTAAACGCAAATGAATCTTCCCAGGCATCATTGAATGTTCTATTTTCTTCAGATATTCTTCTTTTCTTACATTTCTCCATACTTGGCCTTGCTGGGGTTGAAAGTTGCGACAGGTGGACGGCGTTTTGGCGGGTATACGGGGTTTCGCGAGTATGACGTTTCTTTTGAGCGACAAAAAAACAATAAAATATATTTATTCTAATATGTCAAGATCACAATAATCTTCCTATTTAGAACTAAAATATTAAAGAACTAACACAAATAAAATACACTTCAATTAAACACGTGCTTTTTTGTTTTTTTTCCCAAGCCACTCAGAGCCGCAGTACAAGGATGAAAGAGCTGCATGCGGCTCCGGGGCCGCGGGTTCCTGACCCCTGCTTTACAGCATGCGCGCCTCAGTTTGTTGTGATAGTTTTCACCACTAGATGGGGCTGTCTCACTGCAGTTTCGTGATGCCCGACAATAACAAATAAATCAGAAAAAAACAGGCAAAAATAAAAATAAAAACCAATTATTGTTTAATCCTCGGGGCTTTACCTGCTGTCTTTAGAATTCTGGAGTTTATGTAAACATCTGAGACATTTGTGCCATATGTACACACTGGGACTCTGAGGAGCACAGGGACTGGCCCCCTGCTGGGACTCTGAGGAGCACAGGGACTGGCCTCCTGCTGGGACTCTGAGGAGTACAGGGACTGGCGGCCCCCTGCTGGGACTCTGAGGAGCACATTCCAGGGATAAATCCAGCGACCAGCCCAGAGTCCAGTCCTATTCAATGTACTTGTGTAACGGCCTAAAGCACAACAGCAGCCGTTTCGAAAATAAACTACAAAGTTGTGGATTCACCAACAACAGATCAGAGAATTAAATAATGCCTATGTCAGCTTTAATTGTATGGCACATTTACAAGATGTGTTTCTTTTACTAGATTTTAGAACCTCCGCTGATGTGACTGCTCCACTGTTTTGGAATCGCAGCAAAGACCTGGACCCAGTTTTGAGACGAGAACTGAGCAAGTTCCACAACAGATGGTTTTCTGACCTGACAGCAGCAATGAGGGGAAACTGGTGCAAAATGAGAACAAAAATGAGAATTTATCACAATGTCTAGTAAAATTATTGTTAAAATGGTAAATTGTTTTGTTTTTGTATCTAAGTGAAGGATAGATTCTGTTTTTCTCTATTTGCCTCTATTAGCAAAGATACCATTTCAGAGACCAATTCAGAGACTAGTCCAGAAACCAGTCCAGAGACCAGTCCAGAGACCAGTCCAGAGACCAATCCAGAGACCAATCCAGAGACCAATCCAGAGACCAATCCTGAGACCAATCCTGAGACCAATCCTGAGACCAATCCAGAGACCAATCCAGAGACCATTCCCAATCTTGGGACCAATCCAGAGACCAATCCTGAGACCAATCCAGAGACCAATCCAGAGACCAATCCAGAGACCAATCCAGAGACCAATCCCAATCTTGGGACCAATCCAGAGACCAGTCCAAAGACCAGTCCAGTGACCAAACCAGAGCTCAATCCAGAGACCAATCCCAATCTTGGGACCAATCCAGAGACCAGTCCAGTGACCAATCCAGAGACCATTCCATAGATAATTGTTAAAATGGTTATATGTTTTGTTTTTTTGTATCTAAGTGAAGGATAGATTCTGTTTTTCTCTATTTGCTTCAGTCAAACAAAGCAACAGAACTTTGGCCAGATTAGTTTGACTTGTTATTTGTCTGGTCAGTTTGGTGTTTGGCCCCGGGGCCCCTGTGGGGGGGGGGGAGTAAACGGTGACCTCCTCCTCTGTAAAAGCCTCGTGCTGCCAAATGTACAGATGTAAACAACTATATATTAATGCACTAGAATATACAGCGTTGTATTCTTGCTTCTTTATTAGGCTAAAGTTAGAGGGGTTTTTTGGTATAGAGATATTTTTCATCTATCTTGTGCCGTGTGCTCCTCATTCCTACAGTTCTGTAACTGCAGATGGAACACTGACATTTTGCAGCAACGTGGTGATGTAAGGCATTCCAAACGGGGTAATATTCACTTGGTTCAAAGGTCATTGTCACATTGCATTTTACCTTGAAATTAAATTGTATTTTGTGCCATCGTGAGATTAGCAGGAGACATTTATTTGTATTTTCTGGAAGAAGAGGGCTGAAGCTAGCCTGGCCTTATGGGGCGTTCAGACCGCCGACGCTGGAACGCAGCTTCTGCGCGCATCAGACTCACATTCTCTAAATTTCGGACTCAGGGGTGTTCAGACTAGAAGTCTTGGCCTGCGGTGGCGCCAGCCGGAAGTGGCAGAAGAAGCGGCGGGACTTTGATGCTAACGGAGTTAAGCTAGCAGCTTTTTGTGTAAAGTTCTTCTCCAATGATGCAGCTTTTGCCACCCGTAAACTCCGCTCAATTATCATTTCTTGCGCATACAATCGGTTGAATTCCGCACAGGAGGTGGTGCTTAGTTAGTTGTGAGTGACGTCAAGAGTTTGCGTCGAACGGGCAGGTTATAGTTTGGCAATGGCAAAGAATGTGATAGTAAAGTACTCCGGTCTGGTTTTATCAAGAAATTGAAGCCGAAAAAAAACAGAAAAAAAGAAATTGAAGCCGAAACAAGAAGAATGCAAATGTAATTGTTGGCAAATGGCTAAATGCTAACGACTCAATCAGGCGCCTTACATACGTCACGGTAAACCCAGATCCAATCTTTTCAATCTGCTAAAGGAGTTAACCCCTCCCACCTTCAGACCTTAGTATGAAATGTAATTTGTACTATGGTTTGGTAAGATCAGGCTAGGCTGAAGCTAAAGCAGGAAATACACACAGATGGACAGACTGAGACAAAGATGTGGATCATAACAGTTAAGAGACTTTATTTTCCAACATTTAAGCTCTATCAACCTCACGCAATAGCATCATAAACTACATTTCGTTTTTCATTTCGTGTAGTATTGTCACGCTTTGCAACTCAGAGACAGTAATATTGTAGTAACTCATGACTTTTAAATAACAGTATCAAGTGACACATCATGTAATACGTACTTCTTGGATCACACTGTGTCTTTGATGTGGGTGTTCCTCCGGGCGCTGCAACTGTAGGAGCCTGAGGCCCAGCTCAGATCACATCCTTCATCACCTCAATGTTTGACTAGAGACCTGTCCAAATACTCCTTTTGTAGCGTAAGTCAGACTTGCAGCAGCTGTGACACTTGCAGCAGTCAGACTTGCAGCAGCAGTGACACTTGCAGCAGTCAGACTTGCAGCAGCAGTGACACTTGCAGCAGTCAGACTTGCAGCAGCAGTGACACTTGCAGCAGTCAGACTTGCAGCAGCAGTGACACTTGCAGCAGTCAGACTTGCAGCAGCAGTGACACTTGCAGCAGTCAGACTTGCAGCAGCAGTGACACTTGCAGCAGTCAGACTTGTAGGACTGTTGCGAGCTTCCATCATGGCGGTCAACATCCCTGGAGTCATTTCGATGGTGTTCTTCTACCTTGTGGTGCTGGGGACGGGCATCTGGGCTTCTTTCAAGTCCAGGAGGGAACAGAAGAGACAGGGAGCATCTGAGATCGAGATGACTCTGCTGGGGAACCGAAAAATCAACCTGGTGGTGGGGGTCTTCACTATGACAGGTATGGATCGGGTGATTTACAGAATGGGGGGACAACGTTTCAGATGTATGCAGCTTAAATCTGGAACAGTCTTCCTGAACATGTGAGACAGGATTCTACTCTGACAAGTTAAAGTCCAGGTTAAAACATGTTTCACTGCAGACAACTGAGGGATTGCATCTTCACTCTTTTTAATGCACTGTGATTTTTTTATGATTGTGTTGTTTCTATATTGTTTTTTCAACACTTTGTGTTGCCTTGTGTGTGAACTGTGTTATACAAATAAACTTGCCTTACCTGATATTAATGCATCCGACTTATCCATAGCTTCATGTGGAATTATTTGCTCTATACACCGGCCCTTCTGTCAAAATATCCCATTTTCAAACTAGTTAAGCTAATTCGATTCCTGAGGCTATGACGTCATCAACAGATATGAAGTCACACTTTGATATCCTGCATTTGACCCATCTTTCCAATAACACTAGGCCCTCTAGCAGAAGCAGTGGTCACCGTAGTAACAGGGGCCCCATCTCCAGATGTTGATTCTCTACAGGACCAAAGCGTTGGTAAATGTTTTTATTGATAGGGAAACTAGAAAAGACACAGCGAGAAAATGTAACCTACACAAAAAGGCCCTGATGGGGATTTGAACCAAAGACCTTTTTGCTGAGAAGAGAGAGTGCTAACCATTCAGCCACTGTGCCGCCCAATCTGTTATGTGCCTTAATTCTTGTATTCTGTGTCTTTTCTAGTTTCCCTATCAATAAAAACATTTACCAAAGCTTTGGTCCTGTAGAGAATCAACATCTGGAGATGGGGCCCCTGTTGCTACGGTGACCACTGCTTCTACTAACTAGAGGGCCTAGTGTTATTGGAAAGATGGGTCAAATGCAGGATATCAAAGTGTGACTTCATATCATATAGTTAATTTACCATCAATTACAGTATATACTAAGTAGGTGCTGTGGCTACAATCCGGTGTGAGGAGTGAATGAATAATGACATGTGAACCGTCTTTGAGGGTCCAGAAAAGCTTTATGAATAAAACCATATATCATTTGTGTCTTTTGTGTTCCCCATGTGTGGCGCAGCGTCCTGGGTGGGAGGAGGCTTCATCGTGGGCACCGCTGAGACCGTGTACCGGCCCTCGATGGGACTCACTATGGCCCTGATCTTACTCTCGGCTTACAGCTGCTCCTTCCTCCTCTGTGAGTACAGCTTCAGGAGAGTGCGGACGCTTTGAAGTCCGATCGTGACTGTTCAAAGCAAGGACCACGCCACACCAGTAGAGTAGAGTAGAGTAGGGCCGGTGGAAACAGGTTTTAGACTTTGATCCTGGACTCTTACTACTCGGTGATATCAAATTCAATTAAATCTATTTTTGTATAGCCCTAAATCACAACAGTAGTTATCTTTGAGAATGTTACAAAGTTGTTGATTACCAACACAAATCAGAGAATAAAACAGTCCAAACACAGGAAATGCAACAATTAAAAAACACATAGAGCAATTGGTCCATAAAGAGCAGAAGACCAATGTACGTACTGTATATGTTGTTAAATGTCCATAAATGTCCCTTAGTGTCCTGGATCATCACCACTGTTCTTAGACCCTTCTGCATCTGCAAGGAACCACTCAAAAACACATTGAGGAAGGGATCTGCTACCACAAACGGACAGTCTGTAGGTACCAGGACTCAGACTGTAGAACAAGGACTAAGGAGGCTCTCGAGGGGCGGGGAGACAGTCCAAAGGTGCAGATGAAGAAGACCTGTGGACAAAAGACACTTGAAATATACCTTCTGGAACATGGGGAAAGGGCAAGGGGGTGAGGTGTTGGCTGGAGAGGAAAAGGTTGAGGCGCGGTCCTTTTCCTGCTTTTCCGTCAACAAATAAACTAATCTCCATTTCTATGATGCAGGTGGATTTGTGTTTGCTAAACCTTTAAGAGACCAAAGATGTGTCACCATGATGGACCCCTTCCACAGGAAGTACGGCAAGGCTCTCACGTCCGGTTTCTGCATGGTCTCTGTCTTCCTAGATGTTTTGAATATGGCCTCGACGTTAATTGGCTTAGGTAATACAACACATACAGTTCATGGGAACAAACATACAAATACATACGAGGCTGTCAAACTCATTTCCGGAAAGTTTTCATTCACAAAGTACCACTCTCTATGGCCTCTCCCTGGTCTCTTTCTATTGGCTCTCTGCCTGGTCTCTCTTCAGTCTCTATCACTGGTCTTTCTGAGCTCTCTAGTCTCTCTGGTCTCTCTCGCTGTAGTGTATCTCTAGTCTCTCTCTCTGAGCCCTCTAGTCCCTCTGGTCTCTCTCTGGCCCCTGGAAAATTCTGGTGAACTACAGTAGCCCCCTTAGTCAAAAGTTTGCTTTGATTGGATTGAAAGCCTACAAATGAACACCTATGAGTTTGACAGCCCTGTTGTTGCACATGTGGAAACTGTCAGCTGGTGTTGATGCAGGAGCCACGGTGAGTCTGGTCCTGGACCTGCCCTACGGAGCCAGCATCTGGATCTCTGCAGCTGTGGCCGTCACCTACACTCTGATGGGGGGACTCTACTCTGTGGCCTACACCGACATCATCCAGCTCACACTCATCGTCGTCAGCCTGGTGAGCATATCTGATGTGTTCCATTTAAGTATATCTGACAGAACCCAAAAATAAGAATTTAAAGTAACAATATGTAAGTTATTCATATCCAGTCATCATTAAAGCTAAAGGATTCAAAAATAAAATAAAAACATTGGAAGTGTGTTGGAACATTCAAGACACTGGATGCAAATTACTTTGTTTTGTAAGGTTGTGAAGTATCATTTTTGCGGCATTTTCAGCTGCTGGTGTGCCACATAATGTTTCAATGGAAAAGGTTTGCCACCACTCAAAAAGGGTAGATCACTGTTTTAAGGCAATACACATGAAATTGAATTCAATTGAATTATCACCCGAGATGAAATGAAACACTACTCCTCTAGGATCATGTATACAAAGATGCATGATGTGTGTGTGTGTGTGTTTCTCTTGTATCCAGTGGGCGTGTGTTCCCTTTGTGTTGCTGAGCCCCTTCACCGTGAGCATCCATGAGACTCTGCTGAACAACACTCTGCACTCCCCCTGGATCGGGACTCCACATGTGCACAGGCTCTGGACCATGGTGGACGACTTCTTACTCATGGTGGGTCCTTAGTCTACAAATCACACGTCATTAGCTACACTGCAAAAAATGACAAAATATGAGGTAATAAATGCTTGAAGCAAGTGTTTTTTTTAATCTTAATTCAAGCACATTCAATTCAATCATTTAGTCTTATTTCAAGGAATTAATTATTCTTAAATTCAAGATCATGTAACTTGTCCCATCAGCAAATCTTCTCTTGAGGCAGTCAGAATATCAAATTAAGATACATTTAGCCAAATGTATCCAACTTTTTCCCCACTGTGGGACAATTAAAGGATCTCTTAATTTTGAAGCAACATTTTAGAAAAACTTGTTTTTATTCAGCTCAATGCCTTTTTAAACGACCAAAACTTTTTAGAAAAATTTCAATCAGGTTTTAGGGTGAGCTATAGCACAGAGACTGCTCTTTTAAAGATTTTAAATGATTTTAAATGATTGATTCTAAAAAGGTGACTGTGTTGGTTCTACTGGATCTTAGTGCTGCCTTTGATACAGTAGACCACACCATTCTTTAATCCCGCCTGAAACACCTCGGCCTCTCTGGTGCTGTCCACAAATGGTTCACTTCTTATTTAACAGACAGATCCTTCATGGTAAGTTTGGATACCTGCTCCTCTTAGGTCCATAAAATCACTTGTGGTGTGCCCCAGGGTTCCATTTTAGGTCCAGTCCTTTTTAACATGTACATGCTCCCTCTTGGCGGTGTCATCAGGAGACATGGAATTAACTTCCACAGTTATGCAGATTACACACAGCTGTACATCTCCATGTCTCCTGACGACACCAGGCCAATGGATGCTCTTTTTAACTGCATTTTAGACCTGAAATCCTGGATGGCAGAAAACTTTCTCCAGCTTAACCAGGACAAAACTGAGGTTTTAGTCATTGGTCCTGAGGCCCAGAGAAACTTTTACCAAAACTCCTATCACTCTTTTTATCCATTGTCACATGTGAAAAACCTGGACGTAATCTTTGACTCTGATCTGACTTTCTCACATTAAGAATATCACAAGAATAGCTTTTTATCATTTAAAGAACATCGCCAGTCCGCCCCATTCTCTCTCGGGGCAACACGGAGACGCTGATGCTTTTATCACCAGTCGCATTGACTACTGTAATGCCCTCTCTGGTCTTTCCAAAAGGAACATCGCAGGTTTATAATTACTCCAAAACTCGGAAACACGTGTCCTGACACCAGGGGCCGGGACCACATTACACCGGTTTTAAAATTGCTGCATTGGCTCCCCGTGTGTTTCAGGATCGATTTTAAAGTGATAGTCTGTAACTCTAAATTAATAACAAATTTTAGGAAATGTGCTAAATTGACCTCCTGGCCTTAAATGTAGATATAAAATAAGTCATTTTATTAATTCTAATATTACGGGAAAGTCCCGCCTTCCCTGCTCTCAGCTATAGTTCAGAATCCACGGTGCCGTCGAGGTTAACCAATCGAGTCATGCCAAGGGCTGTCAATCATCGGCGCTGATGCTCGCAGCTGCGCGCAGTTGTTTGTTTTCGCGGAGCCTCCGAATCAAGCCTCTATTAGGCTCTGGAACAACATGAAAACTGAACAAAGAATTCTGAACATCCGCGCTGAGGTACTTATGTATATTCTGAACCTATATCCATAATCAGATCCTCTGCAGATGTGTCCTATAATGTGTAATTCATGATAATAGCACTTCCTGGTTTGCCGCGATCGCTTTTTTTGTGCATAAAAACATTATTTTTTTCATTAAAACGTTCACAAATAATTCTGAAAACCTCCGTGCATGTGTATTAATAATGTATATGTATAATGTGTTCTCTGATTAACATTTCAAAGTGTTACGGAAACGTAGGTGTAGACCAATCAGAAAGGAAGGGGGAGGGAGCTTGCGTCGTTTTTTTCAAATCAAGTACCTCTCTGTCTCTCTTTCTGACAAACTCCAGACAATCACTTTAAGGTTCTTTGAATAGTTTTAAAATGTTTTAATGGTCTTGGGCCTTCTTTTCTTTCAGAACTACTTTTACCGTGTGTGTGTGTGTGTGTACATAAGAGTATGTGTGTGAGGGCGTGTGTGCATTTGTGTGTGTTTGTCTGAGCATGTGTGAGTTCTTAATAATATATGTGGTTTGGGGTGGGTCTGTTGGGTGGTCAGGGGGAAATGGGATTGTTTTGAACCAAACTGTGCAGCACTTTGTGTTGCACCGTTTGTATGAAAAGCGCTTTATAAATAACATTTGATTGATTGATTGAAATTTGAGCACTTTTTGACCCTGTGACTACAGTGACGTGTAGATGATTAGTGGATGCTTGTGTGCAGTCTGTTGGAAGTATGGCCTTCCAGTGTTTGCACCAGAGAACCTTGTCAGCCTCCTCCACGGCTACAGCCAAGATTACGTGTTGTGTGGCTGCGGTGCTGCTGCTGGTGTGTGGGGTTCCTCCGGTGCTGCTCGGAGCTGCTGCCGCTTCTACAGGTGGGACTGCAAACACTTCACCTCTTTCATTCAAATCTGTACCCTGTGCAGTGGCTCTGTCTTGTTGGCCTCTGATGGATCATTTACTTTAATTATAAGTGTGTGTATTCCGTCTTAAGTGTTAGTCTTGTTCTCTAGGAAAGTGTATATAGGACACCAGATGTTTCACCTCTAGGCTTAAAAACCCTAAAATAAATAAATAATATATTTAATATTTAGGAGATAACTCCGAACCCCGGGGATACAAGAATGCGGCTTATTTACAACGGGAGCCTACGCTCATTGGCACCAAGTTGGGAATCGAAAAAATAAATAAAACTGTATTATATGATTTTGGTCCTCCTGGTCCTTATGGTCCTTATGGTCCTGGTTACCTCCTGGTCGAGCACAGTAGGTGCACAGTGGTTCTATTACAGGAACACCCTTCAGAAGAGGACCACTCTATACGCTGACAGTTAAATATTGATTGACACAGTAGGAATGAATACTAATATATAATATTATTTTGCGTATTCTTTCTGGTTTAATGGCATTTTATAATTGCTGATTGTTTGACTGAAGAAGCTAAACAAAGTTATAGAGTAAAACTGAGCTTTAACCCAGATTCCTGTCCTCTGCCTCATCCTCATCACCTGAGTGAGCGTTAGAGCAAGATCTGAGCGATTTACCTTATCGACGGATCTGTTTACAAGAGAGTTGATGAAAGCGTTCATATATTTGTTGAAATATAAGTAAGACATGATTACTGCATATTTACCAATTTGGTTCAAATAAAGAAAACTGGTAAAACAGGCACGAGGAAGGACCTCCGTTAAAGTTTTACATCAAAAGCCCCTGGTCCCACCTCACAATAGCAGTGAAACCCCTGACTTCATACGTTTGTGTGGTATCTGATGTGACTTTAATGATATCTGACGTCTGTCATCTTTCATGTTTTACCACATCTGATCGTACATTCCTCTAGAACCTTGTCTTGTAACTGGTGTGTCCTAATAAACAAGACAAAAGTGCAAAGAAGTGGGAGGGGGATCAAGTCCATGTGATGTTTTACCTATATTTGATTTGAACACATGGTTCGAATCAAATGAACTCTTCCTCCACTCCGTCTCCACTGTCTCACTCTGGACTGGTCACCTCCATCTGTCTCACAGCTGGTTCTCATTTCTTGTAACATCTAATCTTCTTGTGGCCTGGTCTATTTGTGGCCTATGGTCAGGCAACTGTGTTAGGCAACTTCTGGTCTTCCTTCTGGCATTTGATGCATCTGGTATCTATCCTTTTACTGGCATCTTTTGAAACAACAGGTCTTGCATCTGGTTTTTGTGGCACACAGCTGCTCTGTGGCACCAGTTCTATCTTTTTGCATTTGTTTTAACATCCGGCATTATCATTACCTCTGCTCTGCCATTTGTTAGATGTGTGGCATCTGTATGTTCAGATTTGATTTCTATATTTGTTTATTTTGATTGGCGTTCTATTGCTATATGATCTGCCGTCTGTCCTGAATAAGACAATGATGCAGTAAAGTGGGAGGAGGGACACATGAAATGTTCATGAGAATTTACCATAGACTGTATATATTAACGGACAGAGTCACGCCTATCTCCGTCGTTCTAACTAATGGGCCAAAAAATTTGCTCTACTGGAGCTATCCAAAATAGCCGCGAGTGGTCCCGCCCACAAGAAAATTGTGAAAAAACGCATCCGCGCATGCGTCAGCCGGCGCAGCTCCATTCATTTGAACGAGAGACTTCAAAAATTCACAGCGAATAAACTAGACTGGTCCAAAACACTCCCCTCAGCATTGACACGCATGTGGAACGGAACTTTGGGCCAAGAGCCAGCTTTTCGCCCATCCTGTAAAGATGTTTTCGAGAGGTCTGCCAATGCTATATGTTCTACTTCTGGGTCTACCCCCATCGGCCCGGGGTGGTATTGCAAGCATGTCAGCGCACGTCATTTTGGCCACTTTTGAGCTGGGACCCGCCCCCACTGGTATTTACACATACATAATACATAATAACGTTTTCAGGCTAACGTCTTATAAACTCTTGCACTGATTTCTGTGAAGGACCCCAGGTCCAGGCATTTGTAGTCTTTAGCAGATCATACAATGACTGAGTTATAGTATCAAATTTAGGAATGTACTTGCCTAAATAGTTTACCATTCTGAGCACACAATGGCATCAACTTTCTCTGGGTCTGGCCTCACCCCAGAGCGGTCAATCAGATGACCCAGGAATCTCAGCTGGCTTTGTCTCAGGGAGCACTTTTCTTTGTTGAGCTTTAGGCCAGTTGATTCGATGCAATGCATGACTTTGTTTAGACGAGCGTCATGTTCCTCCATGGTGACTCCATACACCATGGAGGATGTCGTCCATGAAAGACCTCGACTCCTTCCAGCGTCTCTAGCATTTTACGCTGGTAGATCTCTGGTGCACTTGTAACACCGAAAGGGAGCCTCTTGAAACAGTTTCTGCCAAACGGTGTTAGGAATGTCGTCAGTTTACAACTGTCCTCATGCAGGGGAATCTGCCAGAATCCACTGGCAGCATCGAGAGAGGAGAAGACCGTTGCACCACTCAGTTTGGAGGTGATTTCATCAGATGTTGGGAGAATATAACACTCTCTTTTAACAGATTTATTGAGTTAAGTCTACGCAGATTCTCGGGACCATGGGAGCATACCGTTCTGTTGGTTGTGTGACAGGTATTATGACACCATTCTGCTCCATTCTCAAAAGTTCATCTTTAACTTTTTGTAGCATGGGAAAAGGGACCCTGTGTCCGGTGTGTGAACAGCATATGGCACTGCATCCTCTCTTAGCAGGATTTTTACTGGTTCTGTCTTTAATGTCCCATGTTCAGATTCATTTCTACGGACAGAGAGCAGCTGAGTAGATTGTCCACTCTTTTACCTCGTACTTGTTGACATATAGTTCTTACTTTTATAGCACACAGTCACATTAAAGCAGCCTAGACACAATAGCTCTCCTCCTGGGCTGTCCAGAAAAAGATCAGATGACTGCTGTGGCTTTTCGGGAGCTATTGCGTGAAAAGTATTTTCATTTATGACATTAACATCGGCTCCGGTGTCGATTTTGAATTCCACCGGGACAGAGTCTATGTGGAGAAGCACAGTCAATGTTTCTCCCTTTTCTTTGGGGTTACTAACTGAGCCTGAGAAAGTAGATTTGATTTGGCAGTTTCCATGTTGTGCAGCTGCTGTTGCGTCTCCCTGCACGTATACTTGAGCCGCAACCTTCTCTGATCGCCTCCCATTTTGTATCGTGAGCAGGAAAGTTCTTTGTAGATGATCTCAACCACGATGCGGCCACAGATGTGTTCTTCCCTGGCAGCTCCAAATTCACAATGCTCTGAGAGCTCATACAATGAAAACATGCTCTTTCATGTATCATGTTCCTCTGCGGAAAGAAGTACTCTTCATATTTTGCCATTACAATCTGAAAGAAAATTTTGCTGGACAATTAAACTTGGCCATATCAACTATGTGGAATGATGAGTGGTAGCTTGTCACCAATAGCTTTTCAATTGTGCTCCTTATTGTGCGAACATGACACAGACAGGCAGATAATAATAATGGGCCTCATTCACAAACCGTTCTTACAGTAAGAACAAATTTGTACGTAAATCCTATTTACAAGGATTTTAGGGATATTGCGGCATTCATGATTTTTTCTCGTATCCGGAATTTCCCTTGGGTAAGTACAAATCCTTCGAGTGCTCAGGAGCACTCTCAAGCACATTCAGTGCCGACATGTTGGCATGCCGGTGTTGTCTTCTTTTGTGAAGTTAAATAAAATACAACATTACACTGATATGTCCGTCATATTGATGTATGTATTTATTCATTTCATTTTTTGTGGTAATTTAGCCTATTTTTTAAAATTAATTTTTAAATTAAATGTGCCAAAGCTTTATAAAATACTTCGGAAATCATGCCGTCTAATACTGACTCCATCCTATTTCTATTTCTCCATCCACGGGCCACAGAACAATGGCATACTGTATATACTGCAGCTGCAGGAGGTTGCAGGGTCCGCGCTGAGTGCTGGTTTCTTCCATGGATCTATTATGGGTTCGCGCTGGTCTCTCCAGTCTATGGTCTCACCAGTCTATGGTCTCTCCAGTCTATGGTCTCACCAGTCTATGGTCTCTCCAGTCTCTCCTTGGGTCTGCATTGGTCTCAGCGCTGGTCCGCGCTGGATCTCCTCCCAGAGTTTTTGAAGTTAATCTCATAATAATTTTAGATTAATCTCATAATTTTGCTAGTTTTTTGCTTTATTCTCATAATATTTTGATCGTAAAATCAAAATTGTATGACTTTAATCTCAGTCTGGCAAAAGAAGAAAAAAAGGGTGACTCTTTTGCTCCGTAACTCTTTGCTTTTAGCCTGGTCGTATCACACCATAGTACAAATTACATTTTGTACTAAGGTCTGGAGGTGCTCCATTGACTCCGTTTACAGGTGGGAGGGATTAACTCCTTTTGCAGATTGAAACGATTGGATCTGAGTTTACTGTGACGTATGCAGTGCGCCAGAGTCTGTTGTTAGCATTTAGCATTTAGCCTAGCCATCTCCTTTGCCGCTAACGGAGCCCGTGGGCCACAATTTTTGCCAGCGATTACATTTGCTAAACATTACCCTTGCTCCGGCTTCAATTTCTTGATAGAACCAGACCGTATTACTTTACTATCGCATTTTTTGCCATTACCAAACTACAACCTGCCCGTTCGACGCAAAATCTTGACATCACCCACAACTAACTACAACACCTGCCTTCCGCGCTCTCAGAATGGTCGGTCGAAATTCAACCGATTGTAATCGCTAACACAGGGACTAGACCCAGACGTTACATGCAGTGAATTGATGATTGAACGGAGTGTACGGATGGCTAGGGCCAGGATACTTTGCTTCAGGCATGTTGCTGTTTCCTCTGGCGTCTGCACACGGCCCTGCAGTCCCTTTTATGGGCTTTAATGGGCGGTTACCTATGCTAAGTACCTATGCTATTGACTCACCTGGCAGGCGCGCTCTACTTACGAGGAGTTGGCATTCATCAATCTAAGAGAACAGCTGCAAACAATTAAGCGGTTTACGAGCGCGTTGATGAATCCCACGGAGGGTCTTCTTAGAAACCTACTTAAGAACAACTTGAGAAGAAATTTAAGAAGATTCTTAAGAAGATGTTCGTGAATGAGGCCCAATGTTTTCAGGCTAACGTCTCGCGCTCTTGCCGTAAAACAGGTGATGTAGACAGTGCACCTATATATCATTTATGTATGACAGACAGTATGGCCAGAGGACTGATAGAGCAACAAAATACACATGTATTTGTTGGTCCTCATGGTCTCTGTTGCTGGTCTGGTAAGAGGCGAGACTTCATGAAAGAAAACAGAATCACTGTCGAACCTGCTCCTCCTCCTAATGCTTGGATTCAAGTGCTGTGTGTGTGTGTGTGTGTGTGTGTGTGTGGAGCTGATCTAGAGCAAAGGACCGCTAGTAACAACATATCAAAAATGTTGCCTTAATTTTAGCCTTGCGTCAGTGCTTCCGTCTTAATACTACTAGTATAAATAGTACCGTAGGTTAAAATGAAAAATTTTACACTCGTTTGCTGTGCAACTAAACTTACGGTATACATTTCCTGTTACACATAACTTGTAATTGATGAGTATATGTATTTCCCTCAGACTGGAATCAGACGGAGTACGGCTCTCCGTCTCCGTACGAGCGAGGAGAAGCTGCTCAGGTGCTGCCCATCATGCTGCACTTCCTGACCCCTCAGTATGTCTCCATCATTGGGATCGGCTGTGTGGCTGCTGCCGTCATGTCCTCCGCAGACTCCACGCTGATGTCTGCGGCCTCTGTGTTCTCTGCTAACGTCTACAAGAACATTATCCGACCACAGGTGAGGAGCCACCTGCTCTGTTAGTACTTTAGAAATATGCAAGGCCAGTTTGTTTGTATCGCACGGTTCTTGCACGAGGGAACTCAAAGTGCTTTTTAAAGCAAGATTTTAAAAAGGAAATTCAAAACAGATAGATACACACTTTATTGATCCAAGTAGGGTAAATTGAAGTGTCCCGAAACAGAAACATATATTCAAACAAATAAACACATCATTCTAGTTCTATTCAGGACTCGAGCTGCAGTGTTTTGGATTTTCCATTACAGTGGTCTAAACTTCATCCATCCACCCATTTTCTCCCGCTTCATCCATTTTCCAGGTCAACACACTGGGGTCAAATCCAGGATAAGAATCTTTAGAAACTCTAGAAACTATATTTTAGTTAATGTGGCTGTTAAAATTGAAATCTGAGTCCATTGCTACTCTAGATATCTGATCTGGTTTGAAGGTTTTAGGGACAGAGATAGAGAGAGAGACTGGAGGTGCAGATCACGACCTCTATGTTTCTGGGGACTAAATACATTTCATCATTTCAGTTTTGTTTAATTTCAACTAGAGCAAATAGAAGAATAGTTTGTCTTGTCTGCCCATTCCAGGCGTCGGAGAGGGAGCTGCAGTGGGTGATCCGTGCTGCGGTGGTCGTGGCCGGTGTCAGTGGGACGTTGATGACCACGTTGAAGAACAGCGGCATTTTGTTTTGGTTTCTGTCGGCAAACATTGGCTACATCGTCATCTTCCCACAGTTCTTCTGTGTCCTCTTCTTCAACATCTCCAACGGTTATGGAGCCATTATGGGCTTCCTGGTGGGCTTTCCCTTACGGCTGCTATGTGGAGAGCCTCTGATAGGATTGCCCGCGGTACTACACTTCCCAGGATGCACTCTGGAGGACGGTGTTTACGTGCAGTACTCTCCCATTAAGACCATTTGTATGTTGGTGACGCTGGCTACAATGCTGCTCTTCTCCCACCTGGCCTCTGTGCTCTTCAACCGAGGCCTGCTGCCAGAGACTTGGGATGTGTTCGAAGTCAGAGAACATGAGTCAAAAGTACAGAGCGGGGAGATAGACTTTCTCAGTGGGACCCAGGAAACCTTGGATTTGGACATTTTGGATTCAGTGATGAGAACATAATAGAAGGTGACCTCCTCCTTGTAACATGTGTTTTTATTTTACATACTATGATTTTACGTACTATTAATTTATGAAACCACATACATTGCCTTTTAAATCTAAAAAATGTCATGGTGGTTCCTGACACATGGAGGAAAATATGTCTTTCCGCCTGACAAATTAACAAAAGTGATAATTTTATTGAACTGTATGTTATATCTCAAGTGTTATTTAAAAACTGCACAGATTCATGAGATTCAAATTATCTTTCTATGTAGAAGATTTCAGGGACCACAATCTATGACCAAAGTTCTACTCTAAACCTCAAATCAGAGAAAGCTGAATTTTCATGCAGGCCCTTTCCATATAAGCCTGGTCGTATCGCACCATAGCACAAATGACATTACATACTAAGGTCTGGATTTGCTCCATTGAGCTCCGTTTACAGGTGGGAGGGGTTAACTCCTTTTGCAGATTGAAACGATTGGATCTGAGTTTACCGTGCCGTATGTAGTGCGCCAGAGTCTGTTGTTAGCATTTAGCCTAGCCAGCTCCTTTGCCGCTAACGGAGCCCGTGGGGAGTAGCGCCACAATTTTTTTCCAGCGATTACATTTGCTAAACATTCCTATTGCTCCGGCTTCAATTTCTTGATAGAACCAGACCGGATTACTTTACGATCTCATTTTTTGCCATTGCCAAACTACAACCTGCCCGTTTGACGCAAACTCTTGACATCACCCACAACTAACTACAACACCCACCTCCCACGGTCGCTGATTTGTTGGTCGAAATTCAACCGATTGTAATCGCCAATATGGGGACCAGACCCAGACGTTACCTGCAGGGAAATGATGATTGAGCGGAGTCTACGGATGGCTAAGGCCAGGCTACTTCCATATGGGATTGAGACCGTGGTGAAGTTGGTTGGATATTGGATATTCGGCAGATATTCAGAGCGGGGAAGCGATGAGTTCGTCAGCCGGCCTGAGAGCAGCAAGGAGCAGACAAGTACTCGCACGAGTCTTCGCCTATATTTAGGGACCGTCAACATTTTACCCTACGCTAATTTTTCGCTATTATGAAAGTGGATGTGAAAAAATTGTTCTTAAAAGCTTTTAAAATTATTTTTGGGTTAAAAATACCAGTTTTTCTTCAATAGCTTTTAGGGCATTTGACCCATTTACTCCAAACCACTTTTAAATAACAGTACTACCTGAGGGCTATGGGACTCAGCCCTAGAAATTGTTCTTAAAAGCTTTTTACATTATTTTTGGGTTAAAAATACCAGTTTTTTTTCAATAGCTTTTAGGGCATTTGACCCATTTACTCCAAACCACTTTTAAAGAAAAGTACTAAATGAGGGCTATTGGGCTCAGCCCTTGAAATTGTTCTTAAAAGCTTTTAAAAATATTTTTTGCCTAAAAATACCAGTTTTTCTTCAATAGCTTTTAGGGCATTTGACCCATTTACTCCAAACCACTTTTGAATAACAGTACTACCTGAGGGCTATGGGGCTCAGCCCTTGAAATTTTTCTTAAAAGCTTTTAAAATTATACTTTGGGTTAAAAATACCAGTTTTTCTTCAATAGCTTTTAGGGCATTTGACCCATTTACTCCAAACCACTTTTAAATAAAAGTACTAAATGAGGGCTATTGGGCTCAGCCCTTGAAATTGTTCTTAAAAGCTTTTAAAATTATTTTTTGCCTAAAAATACCAGTTTTTCTTCAATAGCTTTTAGGGCATTTGACCCATTTACTCCAAACCACTTTTGAATAACAGTACTACCTGAGGGCTATGGGGCTCAGCCCTTGAAATTGTTCTTAAAAGCTTTTAACATTATTTTTGGGTTAAAAATACCAGTTTTTCTTCAATAGCTTTTAGGGCATTTGACCCATTTACTCCAAACTACTTTTAAAGAAAAGTACTAAATGAGGGCTATTGGGCTCAGCCCTTGAAATTGTTCTTAAAAGCTTTTAAAAATATTTTTTGCCAAAAAATACCAGTTTTTCTTCAATAGCTTTTAGGGCATTTGACCCACTTACCCCCAACCCCCTTTCCAAAACTATAAATGGTCCAATGGCTTAATCCATTTTGAGTGGCTGCATAGATGTTGTAAGGGGTAAGGGATGAAGAAAAAGGAAGAGGAAGAAGAAGATGAAGACAGATGAAGGTGATGTAGATGATGAAGGAAGAAAAAGGAAGAAGAAAAGAGATGAAGATGAAGGATGATGAAGGAGTTGAGGAAGAAGGTGAAGCTAAAGATGAAGGGGAAGAAGATTAATTTTGTCCAAATAATATTTTCAGGTATTACTTCCATTACTTACTTACGTGGCAATAAAAATGATTCTGATTCTGATTACTACAAACATTATTCCAAAGAACAAAGTTGTTTACAGTTACAAATGAAATTACAGCACAACATTTTTTCACTCTCTTTAATATAACAATTGCTCAATCGCAGAGGCAGCAGAACCAGTCTTTGTTTTTGGCCACATCAAAATCCTTCTCGTTCATGGTTATGCAGGAAGTGTGAAACCATCGATCACAAGTATCACAACAGATCTGTGAAGTGGAGATAAAATGAACACAGTATTATTTCATATCCGTTTATATATTTTTGGCATATTTATTTAAGCTAGACATTACCCAGTTTGTTTGGGCTTTTCGTCTTTTTTCTGGTGGCCTGAATGCTGCACACATGGAACATGTGTTTTGTTGATCCATTTCTGGAACAGAAGGTAATGTTTAAAACGTTTGTATTAGATATATGGGATAAACAAATTTGTTATTATATAAAATATGAAACTCAAAGAGAGTAGGCCAAAGCAATAAAGCTTATAAGTGCCAAGCCCTCATTCAAAACTTTTTTGCCAACCATGCTGAATGTCATTCTTTTGATCCCTACATTTTCACTGGTCTAAAAAATGTTAGTTTGTTCTTGAAGAAGAATATTGACTTGTGGTGAAACAGACTTATTATCACAAGTAAAAAATGTTTAGATAATTGCATACCAGACACTTCAAGAATCTCCAAGGCCATTTGTCTCCTCTCTTGCTCCATGTTTTCCTTGGATGTGGAAAAATCCATGACAGGAAGATTTGGATAGTCAGCCATAATGGCTCTAGCCATCTAAGAATTCAGCAACATTTGAATCAGTATTACCAAAGTCATATTATTGCAAGAAATATGCAGAACTTAACACAGTGTGTTAATTATGTGTCTACATTTAGGCTGTGATAAGACACTGAACATGTTGAATTTGCCATTCTATTAAGAGCTTTTATGTACCAAAAAATAGTAAAAACTATTACCATGACTACAATAACCCCACAGCTACATCCTTCTGTCTGTGTAGGATGAATCATTGCACCTCCTTTCAAAACTTTGGATGTCCATGCTCCGGTCTTCAATGTTTTGTCTCTCATTGTTAGATAGGCACTAAAAAAACAAAACACAAATTGGACATCACATATGAACTGTAATACAGATATGCATTTTTTTATTTACGTCATTTTGGCTGCTGCTTTCTTTGAAGCCTTGATGTTATTTGACAGTGCAGGATCAAGAACATACACTGTTCCACTGTCTTTTTGTACGTACTGTAAAGGAATACACATACAATTAATGTCTGTGTGTAATGCCTTGTTCTCAATGCAACAAAAAATATCTACTCACCAACAAAACCCAATGGTTGCTGTTGACATTGACAAATGTCAATATCGCATCATACTGTTCAAAGTCCACCTGCATATTACAGAGAACATTTACGCATTTTCCATAACAACTATTTGTCCCAAACATGATGCATTTCAAAAAAATAACATATAAGTAAGACACCTACTGCAGACACCACATAGTGGTCTTGAATCTTATCACTGTCTGAGCCAAGAACAATCAAGACTATCAAGATGGGCTTTATTTGGATAATAGAGTTCTGCATTACTAATCCTAAGACTGGGATAACACCAACTTGCAATGTATACAAGCAAGGAGCTGACAAGTGGAATAAGAACATAGTTCTACAGATGAGATTAAGTCCAATGACATAGGCAATACTTGTAATTTTTAGGACCTTTGCTGACACAAAATATATAGTTTAGTTAATTGTTGAGTTTAAGAGTACCTGTTTCTTTGTTGGAGAAAAAACATCTAATGCATTATAGTAGAAGAGGTAATGCATAATGTGACAGAGTGAAGAAGTTAATGAGTGAGTGTGTACAATATATATTTAATGACAACTAAACACCTAACTCTACTAAACTGCATACATATTTTTATTATAGTGCTCTTTACATTTTTTGACATTTCAATGCAAATTACATACAATTTCACTTTTGAGCCTCAAACCGTCTGTGTGGCACTTGAATTTCGTGCCTGGACTCTCCAGTGCAAAGTGATGTTGCTTTGTATGGCGTGAGTCCTCTGTGTGTACATGGTATAAAAGCAGTCACACACACCGTAGGGAGTTTGAGTATTATCGTGACATTTAGTGGTTCAAAATTAGATTGCATCCATTGCTACTACTTGCTTAGATAATTCTGTGGCTTAGGTTGTCTATAGATATAGGTGTAAACTATTGCTTTAAGCTGCAATGACAACTGTTTGATATTTTTGGGTGTGGACCACACCACGCTCATCTCTAAGCTCCTCTTCTTGTCCCATGGTTTCAAATGTCCATGTGGGTAGTGTTTTGTTTCCCATTAATAGGGACTTGCAATCCAAGAACTTATAACGTAATACGCAATCAGCATTTAAATTTCTCTTAATATTTCCATTTGTATAATTTGAAAAAATGAAATAGAATTACATTTGAAATGTGTAATTTGTCATGCATGTCATTTTATACAAACCTTTGGCAGCAGTTTATTACAAAGCTCTTTTTTGTTGCCCTTCATAATAAGCCCAGCAGTGAAATAGTCCAGAAGATATACTTCTCCAAGCATGCTCTTTTTTGCTGCTATATGAAGTAAAGTCTCCATAATCTACACATAAAAGTTTTTTAGGACCATTTAATTGAATCAAACGTTGGGGATGTTAAAGGTCATTTTCACCTCTCCATCCAACCACTGGTGTGGTCGGAGTGTTTTGAAATCACTGTGGTGTACCATTATTGTGCCTCCACTTTGTGATTGCACTGATGCTATGATGGCCTCCGTGCTCTTCCTGTTCCATAGTAAGGCAACCTGTAAAACAGAAGGTTAATACTGACATTTTCTACAAAAATATAATATATAGTTTCTGATAATAATTAGCGTTCATGTGTCTCATATGCTTGTGTATAGTTTTGTGCTTCATTTGTATAAAAATAACTTTCAAGCCAAATTGTTGCTCCTGGGATTCTACGGGCATTCAAATAACACCAGCACGTTACGGTAGCAGTTCAAAGGGTTGATTTTGAAAATAATATAAAATAAATAATTTAAACAAGTTCCATGGTATGAGCAAAACTTGATATGAGATTAAATGACAGAATAGCTCATTACATTTTTTAATTGTCAAAATAAGTTACATTATTCCAAGGACAACAACTGGTACAAATACAGTTGTAGTAACTTAAAATTGTCACCAATTTCAGTGTCGCTGACTAAGCTCTTTGGATGAGGTTCTGGTCAGAGCGGAGGATGTGAATCCTGTTCAGAAATGGCATAATTCCTTTCCAGAAACGTCTTAATCACTTTCACTTCTCACTTGCCACAATGCTCCTCACTCCCTACCATTTGTTGGTCGCGACCAATTTTTACGTTTCTCGCCACAAGGCTCCCGCTACTGTTACATCCAGTGGTCGCATCCTATTCCTACGTTTCAAAGTACTTCTCTAGTAGCTCTCTGTTGCCACCTACTGTTATGAAAAAGTATTATGTGGATACTGTACAGTTAAAAACAAGTCAGCGCTCGCCAACGTGGATGCAGTTATTTTTTGACAAAGTAAGAGAATTTCTCCCGCCACACTATTATGACATTATTATACGGCGCACTGGTGTGCCGTGGCCCATTGGTTGAAAAACACTGTACTAAAGTACAGATGACTGCTCAAAGATTTGACTATGATTAATCAATGTTTACATACCTGGTTTGTTGTAGGGTTGCTGTCAGTGTGTGCTTTTAATTTGACGACAGTCGGAGGGGCATCACTGAAGTATTTTGACTTATTCTTTGGTCCCCCTGAACTGTCCCTCTTCTGCCAATTTTCCTGTGGATCGTCCCTTGGTTTGGATGTTGCCGGGTTTTTGCACAATATTGAAGTTGGCATTTGATGTCTCATTACATGCTCAACGTATCTTCCCTGCATCGATGAGTACATCTTGTTGACAAATTCAGCTGGCCGTAAATGTTTCTGTTTAAGGATGGAGTTCTTAACCAGCCAAAACCACATCTCCACATGACAGTTTGTGTCACGTGATTTGAGTTTTCCAAGAGGTGTAGTGTCCGCAATGTGCCTTGACAGGTCGCCGAGCAGAACCCCACTCCACATGGGAAAAATCCCCATGTAGTTTTTTTGCAACAACTTGATGAGCTGTGGGCAGAAGTTTCCATTTTTAATTCCAGAAGGACTTTCAGAGAGTATATCTAGCTTTGCCTGTTCAATTTGCAAATTAAATACTTTTGAAAAAGGTGATTTTTCGGCAATGGATTTGCCCAACTTGGAAACTGGTGGAATTTCTTCTGAGATATCTTGTTTCTGCATGGCATTCTTGGAGATGCAGCTAGAGAGAAAATCCTTGCTTTGATCAACCAAAGAATTAGTCTCTTCTGACAACAGGAGCACACAGAGGTGGTAATAAACGTCAGCTGCTTGTTGTATTGTTGTGGTGTTCATCAAGAAAGCCATGCAGTAAGTGAAAAAGTCACACAGAAGCTTGTCATCACACTTTTTGGTTATTGCATTTCTTGCCGATTTAATTAGGTGAGCAGAACAGAGGTGCAACACAGTAAACTGTGGTATTTTGTTGCATTTTCCGGTTGCAATTTGAAATGCCCTTTCCAAGTACGCCATGATTTCCTGTTGGTTGAATGCCAGAAGGGCACTATTAATTAATGCCCAACTCTGGTCACATTCGATTTGACGCACTCTTTTTTTGGTGCAGAGCGACAGCTTTCTGGTGAACTGATGAAGCCAGTGGCAAATTGTTGGTACACAGTGGCTGTTTGTGATCAACTCACTTACAGGGAGCGGGGGTTTGTCCTTTCCACTACCTGGTAGAACAAGGGCATAATAGAGGATCCTCTTCGGTTGTCCAGGAATTTTCTTTATTACTCCGCCTGTGGCATCGAGGTATAGACAAACCTCTCCCCCTTTTAGGTGTTCAATTAGAATGTTAATGCTCATGTCAGTGTGAAGATGGAGGCACAAGGGATCTAGCTGAATTATGGGTAGGTACCCTTTAGTTGCGGGGTAGCTTCCACTTTCCTTTAGAATTTTCTGTGTGAGCATTATCTCTAATGTCATGTCTTCATGCAAACGCTGTGTTTTCTTCAGTTCATATGAAATTGTCTTCAGTACATCTTTTGTCAGGCTCCTTGTGATATTACCGGCCATGAGCTCAGCTGTTGGTGTTGACTTAAGCATATCATAATAGTGGTTGCTTACTCCATTGGCCACAGCTTTGGCAATTGCCCCTCTTCTAATTGAAGTCGCTGGTCTGCCTTTTTGTTCTGTTTTGTGGTGTTGAATTTTTCCCAATCTGTAGACCTTTACTCTGATATTTCTCTTTGCTTGAGGTGAAGCGTTTCTTATGAAATGGTATGTCGCTTTGCAATCTTTAAAACTGCACTTAGCAGTTGCATGAAAAAATGGGCAGTTCTTCTTTCGGCTTGCAGTTTTTTGTAAATGCTGATAGCGGAATACAAGAGGGCAAGAGGGATTTTTCTTCTGGAATTCTTTGTACATAACGGTTGTCCAATCTCCTTTCACCATTTGTTGTCCACATTGAGGTAGAATTGAGTCCCAATCTTTTTTGCTAATACTTATTGAAAATACTTTTGGGCCAGCAATACATTTGCGAAATTTTGCAACTGTATGGTCCTCCACATCTTCGTCAGAGGTAGCTGTGTAAACATAACAAAAAAAATGTTTTTAATTCACTGCATATAACTTCTATATAGGTTTGTTAAAAATTAAATAACGGTTGAACATGTACAGTGGGAAGAAAAAGTACACCGTTTGAAATATCTCAAATTTCTTCCTAAATTGGTCGCTAAATTGATTGATCTTCTAAATAACAGGAATGATTATTCAGTGTCTGCTTAACTCAAATTGTCATATTTTCACTAGCCATTAATCTTCCAATATTTTCAGAATTCATCTATTAATCGCTTGGCTGTGAATGGTTTTTGAAGAAGTTTTTGTTTTTTCATTTTTTGAAATCACATAAAGCTACTGTGGCACCGCTTGAGGACTTGCTGGAGTAAACTTAAAGTGTTTTTGGAGGCTCTTCTGGCAATTCTGCTTTATGATTAGGGCTGAAACAACTCCTTGATTAATCGACAACAAATTGATTAATTAAATATTTGAAGAATATTTTAGTAAACTAAAGTAAACACAGACTCAAATGGAGAAAAAAAGTCATTAACAAGACAGATCTTTATGTCATTTTCAATTTACCGAAAACATACAGCCTCATCCAATCAAAGCACAATTTGTACTGAGCCTCCAAAAACACTCACAGCCAGGCAATTCATTGATTCATCATGAAAAAAAATGGGTAGATTAATCGAGTGCCAAAATAACAGTTTGTTGCACCCCTGTTTTGAATTGGATGACAAATATTTTTTACATTTTCATTGTACAAATTACTACATAGCCAAACTTGAAAAACAAAGAAGGTTTCCATCAAAAATAAGCAATGTAATTTTAGCTCTTTTGGACTCCATCCATCCATTGTCTTCCCCTTAATCCATTTCTGGGTCAGGAGTGTGGCAGTCAGAGCTACACCCAGTCCACACAGCACCAGCCCCTCACTGATCCTCCTGCAGGTGGTGTGCCTTGATTTTTCAGCGGGGGCTTCAGGCAAAGTTGGGTTGTTGGGTGTCTTGGCCAAGGACAAAGCGACAGCAGACATCAGTGGGGGTCGTGAAGTAGGTCTTTTGGTGGGCTCCAACCCATGACCTTCAGGCCCAAAGGCCAATGCTCTACCAACTGAGCTACTGTCTGCATTTAGCAGAGAATGATTGATTACAGAAACAGCTATTTCAATAATCGAGTAGTTGTCGCTTTAGCCATTAGTTGTTTCAGGTCAATTTATTTCCTCTGTTAAAAAGGAACTACACAGAATTAAAAATTATAAAAACTACGAATTTTAATCCCCCTACATGTTTCAGCCATGTCGTAATGTGTGGAATAAGCCCAGACCTGTTCACCACAGCTGCCTCTAAAATCCTGCACTTCACTTTTAAAAAGGTGTTAATTTTGTGTCGGGCACGAGCTTAATATAGAAGCTGCAGTAGTGCATGTAGTATCTGTAAATCTGTGTTTCAAGGATTATTTTAATTTATATTAACATTTATTCTAGATTAGATTTTGAAACTCCTTTGTCAGTTAGCTTGTCAGGGGAACGGCCATAACTCCATAGATTCAATGTAAAGTTCATACGTTGTAATTATACTCTTGTATCTGGTCTGGTGTGTTGTGTTTAGGGTCAGAAGACAATGCCAGACCATTTCTAAAAATGGGGCGACAGTGGCTCAGTGGGTAGAGCATTTGGGCCTGAAAGTTGTGGGTTCGAGCCCACCACAAGACTTTCTCCACTGACTCCCACTGATGTCTGCTGCTGTTGTATCCTTGGCAAGACACTTAACCTCTGGTAAAACCAGCCACAGTGGGGCGGCTGCAGCTGTAAAGTGCCAAACTGCCGTTGTGTCTTTATGCAAGACACTTCTCCCCCATTGCCTAGAATGAGTCGGGTGTGTGTGTGAATGGTTGGTGGTGGTCGGAGGGGCCGATGGCACAGACTGGTTGTCTCGCTTCTGCCTGTGTGCCCCAGGGCAGCGGTGCCCACAGTAGTTTATCACCCCCGTGTATGGAATGAATGAGTAATGACAAGTGAAGCATCTTTGAGTGTCCAAAAAGGTGTTATGTAAAACCGATGCATTATTATTATTATTATTTTTATTTACCAGTCTTGTTCATTTGTCATTCCAGGTATATGATTACTGGCGGGGTGTAATATTAATGATAATAAGTAAGTAATTATTACTGCAAAAGAAGGGTCAGCCAGCTATTTAATACAAATGATCACTTATTCCATGTTGTAGGAGCCAAAATATAGAATAGTTAATTTGCACAGCCCAGATGGACGCTTTTGTCTCCATCTAGTGGACGCAGTGGGGAAGGGCTACATGTGTGCAGTATCACCTGGAGGTGTGGCTCCAGCAGGGAGACAGTATTTGACCTCACTCTCTCTCATACTTGCTTATCATTTTGATTTATCTGGGCCATCCTGAGTTTTTGGTACAATTTTCAGTACAATTTTTATTTGTAAAAGTAATATAATTATTATTCTTAAAGAATTTGTTTGTGGACATTTCTTCTTTTTTATGTGGAGCGTCATGCCCTGTTCTGCTGAGTCACTAGACATACTTTTTTTTTTGTCTTGACTCTACACACGTTGTTGTGAATCTCTCAAGTCTTTCAGCAAATACCTTTGACATTGTATGTATTGTTCACCAGGCCCTGAATAAATAAAACAGCTCCACACCATGATGCTCCCTGCACCATATTTCACGAGGATAGGGTTTTGATGTTGGTGTGCTGTTCCACATTTCCTCCACACATAATGTTTGTGTTCCTCTCCAAAAAAATAAATACTATATTTTACAGTACCCTTGATACATTGTACCTGCCACATTAATTACAATGTAAGACATAAGACGCAAACTCTAACCCTAACCCTAAGGGTCTTATTACATTATTTACCCCCAAAGTACTAACACACATGATTCTATTGTGTATACTGTACTGAAAAGACACAAGTTATTAGACGTTTTTACAAAAAAGATTACAATGTACAAAACTAAATGTAGTACAATCTATCTGGGTAGTATACAATAAAGTTTTACCAGTTTGTGTTCATCAGTCCACAGTTTATTTTGCCAGTAGTGCTGTGGAACATTCAAGAGCTCTTTTGTAAACCAAAGTTGAGCAGTTTGTGAGGAACACCCAACGAAATGTGTGGAGGAAAAATAGAACAGCGCACCAATATCAAAAACCTATACCCTCTGTGAAGTCAGGAGCAGGAGAATCATGGTGTCAGGCTGTTTGTTGCCTCAGGGCCTACACAACGTGCCTTCAACAGAATTTTTTTTCAAGGATATTATGCAGAAAGACCAGAGACATTCACAACAACGTGGAATTAGAAAGTGATTCCTTGTATTAAACATCCGTCTGATCCTTATTTTGCATCAATAACTTATCTGTTTATGTTGATTAGATGCTCACAACCTTCAGGATGAATCTTGGACCATTCCTCTTTACAAAACTGCTGCAGTCCAGTGAGATTCAGGCAGTGTACTTAATAATTTCTTACATATTACATTTAAAGAAAAAGAAAGAACAAGGCTGTGTCACCGCTGATGGAGCAGCGGCTCTTTTCCCGTGCACCCACCACCCGCCGTAGGATCAGCGAGGGATTGGTGCAATGAGCATTGGATGGCGGCTGATTCCCCCCCGACTCAGAAATGGACTAATAAAGGGGTAAAAAATTAATGAATGAACTAAAGATCACATTTGATGACCAATAAAGGCAGAAATGTTTGAAATTCTGTGGTGTACGGTGTACTTACTTTTTCTTCCGACAATGTGTGTGTGTCCATCACACTATCAATACTTCTCTAGAGCAACTAACATCACAACAGCAAATAACATTGAGAGTCACTTGAATAAATGCAACATAACCAGATACCCACCTCTGCGCAGATCAGCAGACACTATGAGGCTAGCCATGTTAGCAGAGGAAGGAGCAGCTCTGTTGTGCTCCACATATTCAGTCCTCAAGATCGTCCTCTGAGATGGTTAGGGGGGTTGCTGCTGTTTGGTTGTCCTCCAGATCGTCCTCTGAGATGGTTAAGGGAGTAGCTGCTCGGTTGTCCTCCAGATCGTCATCTGAGATGGTTAAGGGAGTAGCTGCTCGGTTGTCCTCCAGATCGTCATCTGAGATGGTTAAGGGAGTAGTTGCTCGGTTGTCCTCCAGATCGTCATCTGAGATGGTTAAGGGAGTAGTTGCTCGGTTGTCCTGAACATCATCATCTGAGATGGTATTCAGAGTAGCTGCTCTGTTGAGCTCAGCCCCTGCCACTTCCGATGAAGATGTTGCCTGGTTGTCCTCCACATCTTTGTCAGAAGCAGCTGTATTTAAAAAAATAATGTGTTAAAAACAAGTTGATATTTGTGCACATTTGACTCTGTAGTGATGCAGCGGCTGTATGTGTAGTCAGCATGTATTCTTCACTTTCCTTCATGTTGTCCTCAACAACACTCCAGGGGCTACCTAGTATGCAAACCATTAGAATTTTTCAAGTAATATACAAGGATCTGCTTTTTGTGACATTACTACAACATAATTGAGTTTCCACATCATTATGATTGTAAATCAGCAGAAAACAAAAGTTGTTTCAGATTTGTATGTAGGAAACCACTTCTTTATTAGCCGTTTATTCCAAAAATTTAAAGGTATACAACATCGGCCCCTCCTAATACCACCAACCAACCCACCCACTCAAGCAATTCATTATAGCTATTCTAGCCTAAGTTAAAGTAGAAGAGAATTTAGAATTTACCATGCTCCTATCCATAATATATAACTACAATATGTGTTAATATTTCGGGTGTTCATTTTTACACGTTAAGATGAATAAGTGAAAAAAAAATTATGATCTCTCACAGCAGCGAACAGCAGTCATGGAATCTGGGGAAGAATCGGAGGTTTCACTGTCATCTGAACAAGGTAAAAACATATTTTCATCAGTTTTGTACATAATAGTGTGCAACTCCATCCATCCATTTTCTACCCTTTAATCCATTTCTGGGTCAGGGGGGTGGCAGTCAGAGATGCCACCCAAGTCTCATAGCACCAGCCCCTCACTGACCCTCTGCAGGTGGTGAGTCCACAGGAGGACGGCTGCTCTCTGAGTGTGAGCATAGCCTTGATCTTTCAGCGGGGGCTTTTTATGTGTGCAACTCTTTTAGCCTTATTTGTGAGATTCAATATAAAAACGTTCCCTAACGGTCCCCAGTGTTGGGCAAGTTAGCTTCTTGAAATCAAGATTTCCTAAAACATGCTTACAAGGCTAATATTCGTTTGTACATTATGCCAGTCTCACTTTGGTTGCCTTAGATTTATTTACCACGATGTACACATTGTAATATCCAAAAATGCTAATCAAAATTACTTGAATTGAATAAATATTTTACTTTTACTCATTCTGACTGAGTCCAAAATTGTGTCTGAAGTGTCCATCCTAATGGGAGATTCTTCACTGGCTTTCTCAAACACAATGCCATGGTTAGCCGATGACTCCGTTACTGGTTGTACAATCTGAGAGTGAACTCTCTTTAGATGTTTAGCATATGAATTTAATTTGTGATAAGTTCTTTGACAATTGTCCTGGTGGCACACAATGGTGTAATCTTGTGCATCACTTAGTGCATGCACTTGTCTGAGATGATTGATGAGTTGTCTTATGTGCTTTGACACTGCTCTTTTGCACTTGGGACAAGTACCAATACATGTTGGTTGATAATTTACATTCCATGCAATTTGGAAATCAGCTCTAAGACTTTAGAGCGCTTTGCAGATTCCTTATTCAAATCATAAGCATACTCCAAAAACTGGTATACTGATTTGACCTGAGGAGGATATGACAGGTTGCACACCCAAAATAGTTTGAAGAGTTTGTCCAGGGCACAAGCCAGTCCTTCATCTTGGAGAGGGATGATTACTTTGTCATTAGTTGCAACAATGAAATATTGTGCCGCTGGGTTCCTGGGATGTCCTAGGCAAATGAGTTTTAGTTGCTGGACTTCTGAATCAGAGTCTGCAGTCAGACTCAAAATGCTTGTTCCACTCTGGAGAATAAAAAAATAAACAGTTTGAAAACAGTTACTATACTCAAATGTCACAATTCAATTTGCAAAACAATGCAGGACCCACAATTCACACAATGCCATACGTAAAATAAGGCTCTCATAAGAGATCACAGCTAATTAGGGATTCACAATCCAGCTTTTAAAAGTCCAATAACGATATATTGACTTTCAATATCTGCCAATTCCTGATATGAACAGATACCAGTGAAGGCACTAAAGAATAATGTTCTTTTCTCAAAGAACAGCTCACTCATTATAAATCAGATCCATTTGTTTTTAAACGGCAACTCCTGTAACTACAGAACAACTGTTTGAGTTAAAGTGAATACGCATAAATTAAATGCGCTAGAATCAGCAGCATTCTTGCATCTCAAATGCATTGTCACACCCCTACTTGCAACAGTAGCCATACATTTTAAACAAGACTAAAAAAAATGAGACGTAAATTACTGATGTTAGTAAACCGTATATGTTAAAATTAATGTCAAGTCAAAAAAAGCAAATAAAGACCAAAAGATTAGGTGTTTTGACTTTACCGGCTTGAGATCCAGGATGTAGGACATTGCAGACTTCACGCTGCATTTTGCCCATCCCTTGCCTCTTCCTGATGCGGTTGGAGGAAGAACTCTGCAAAAATATTACACAGTTTGTTTCAATGCACATTTTTTGCCGGTTTTAACAAGAACTATATATTGTTTATATTAGTTCCCCTGTTTATCATTTGAGAGCAAATTAGCTGAAATAATTTTCTGTCAACATAACTGGTTAAAGGGACAACAAAGTGTCACCAAAGGAGCAACTGCAAACCTAGAAAGGCAGTACTCTTGTTCCACAAAACAACTCACCACTGGTTTCTTCAGGCATGCCTTTTTTTTCCATAGATGACAATTTGAGCAGTTTGGGAACAAATTGTGCTTCCCACTTGCAAAGGAAGTTGTCTTGCTTCCCAGGGAACAACTTCCCAAATTCAATGTCAATCTGTAAACAAAAATACATGTAAGCGTCATGTGCAAACAAACAGCAATTAAACTACCATGACCTTATGAGCAAGTGTATAATACAATAGTTTAACTATGTAATTGTACAAACACAAAAGTGTTTGAGGCGATAAAGAGCCAGAGAAAGAGAATTTAGACAAATAAAGCCAACCTTGCTATATTAAGTTTTCATAGAGACAAATTGTAAGAATTGATTGACACTTTCAAATCTAAACTTTTTCAGAGCAGTTTCCATCTCCATTTCAAATTCTCTTGTTACTATGTCCAATGATACATTTAGAGAACACAATTATTGGTTAAGAAGATGTAATGTTTACCAAGCACAGTAGGTCAATAAAGCGTGGATAGTGAGCGACAATTTCCTGCATTGTGGGAGACTCTGTTGAAATCCAAAGCCTCCGACTTGTGAATGTTTTATCCATGCCCATTTTGATTGTTGCAATGTTCTCAGGGATGGGCTTCATCCTTTTAATAGCAGATGTCCACTCCAGTGTAGCCTCTGCCTCCTGCTCTGCCATGTGAAGGGTAACTATGACATCAGGATCGGGTACACTACAACGAACTCTTTTCCGGTATCGCCGCTGATCTTCGTGAAGACTTCTGCGGAGGTTCCTCAGCCTCATTTCAATAAACCCACAATGGGAAACTGGGTCAAAGAAATGCTCCTAGACAATAAAAAAAAAGAACAGTTATACATGTGTATATATTATACACACACACACACGTGTGTGTAAATATACTCACAAATCCTTCATTTTTTTCCTGGTAGTTTATCTTTAGCGAGGGAAAGACTTACTATACTTCTAGTCAGAAGTATTTTGTCATCCTTTGAGGGATAGCTAAATAACAGACAAAAGTATGATTAACTGTATGATACATTTTAATATAGATACCATAACTGTAATCTTATCTTAAAACTCTGCATTAACAAAAGGTCTGACATATTCAATGATGTAAATTGCATTATTTACATCAAATAAATTGCATGTATCGCGTTATGTTTGTGAAAAATTTATTTGTCCATCAAAATTGTTATCGTGATAGGCCTAGTTACAGGTTCATTCCAACCAAGCAGAGCCACACCGGACTCCACCCATTTCCTCAAGACTTTCTTCTTACATGAGAATTGGAGGGGGTCTGGTGTGCCCCTGCTTGGTTGAAATGAAAGCCATCAGTCAGACTTTTGGACTGCAGTGTGTGTACAGGTGTAGATACGAGTATTTTGAAATACTTACAATCCCTTCTGTTCCACGAGATGGCTCACAGATACTTTAACAAGCAGTTTTCGTGACGTGATGGAAAGACTGCCTGATGATTCGAACTCCAAGAGGAGATTTGGGGCTTTTTCCTTCAACAGTTTTCTCAAACTATCATTGCCTGGCTATGGTTCATTCTGCAAAAAACAATGAAATCCATGAATACAGGTGAATGCTGAAACATTTGAAAATCATCCATCCATCCATCCATTTTCTACCCTTTAATCCATTTCTGGGTCAGGGGGGTGGCAGTCAGAGATGCCACCCAAGTCTCATAGCACCAGCCCCTCACTGACCCTCTGCAGGTGGTGAGTCCACAGGAGGACGGCTGCTCTCTGAGTGTGAGCATAGCCTTGATCTTTCAGTGGGGGCTTTTGGGCAAAGTGGGGTTAAGTGTCTTGCCCAAGGACACAACGACAGCAGTCATCAGTGGGAGTCGGTGGAGAAGGTGCAGAGGTGGGAAATTGAAAATCATGAAAAATGTAATTATGTGAAACTAATACATAAAAAGAAGGCAAAACATTTTTTTCTTCTTTTTTAAAGTCAGATGGAGGAGAATCGACAATGGAAAAAGGAGATCTCGAAAAAGGAATTTACCTTTGCAACATAATTACAGAAAGATATCAGGACCAAGTCCAGAGTCAGGACAAAGACTGCATTTGTGGTTTTTACAAGCAAAATAATGCAAGTTAGAATAAAGGCATAAATAATTGGCACTAGTCACTTTACCATAAGTCCATAATATATATTACTTCACATTTTAAGTTGTGAAAAGAATGTACTTTGACACACTATTACAATTACTCAGGATTCATCATTCACTACAATATAATGTAAAACATGTAAACAAATGACATACCTCTGACAGTCCAACTGTAGATGAAGCAATGGCTCCAATTGAAGTTGAACCCGAGGGCTGGTTCTTAGGAAGGAAAAACAGTAAACAGATAAAAGTTGAGGTTACAATAAGAAATAAAAAATATTACCAATAGTTGAACATTACAAACCTGATATTCCAAAGTGTATGATTTAAATGAAATTCTGTATTTGTCAAGGTTCTGGACAAGTACATTGACATCCGCATCAATAAATTCCTTAAAATCTTCACTGTATATTTGAACAGAATGAAAGTCGGCTTTGTCTGTTAAAAAGCTTGTGCTTTTATCAATCAGTTCTTTAATTGTGTTGAGATGGTAAACTCTTTTGGCAATCTCTTTGTCATCCAGCACAATAGTCACAAGAGATCTGGGATTCTCCTCCATCTGACAGGGAAAAAAAGAACAAAATAAAAAAAAGTATGTAAATATTCTTACCTGTCAAACTGCACACACCGCCAAATTAAGCATCTTTAAACAAATGCTAAATTATAATGTATGTATTATAGCTATTTAAATTACAGATCATGAAATTCATAAACACGGGTTATCTAAAATATTTTAAAAAGGCTCGTTAAAATTTACAAGACTAGTGGAAAATGTAAGCAATAATCAACTACGCGAGCAAGAATTAATTACCATAAGTATATCTTGTATGCACTAAAACGGCTCAGTTTACTCGTGCTTCCGCAGCAGCCCTCAAACTCAACGCTAGCCTCCTGCTTCCATGACAGGGTGAACACCGCACTCACCTCAAATATCACATATAAAGCCAGCATTGGCCATTTCACATTTACGGTCCTCTTATGAGCATTTCTAAACTGTGTGCCCGCACCATGAATCTATTGGATGCTTTGGGTTAGCACTACCACATCCGAGTGGCTAACCTGGAAAAACAGAGCTACGAAAGCGGGGGTCAACTTCGCGCAATTATTGATAAATAATCTGTCAGATCAGTTATCCCCACATATCTTGATCGATTACATCGTTAAGTGTTAACCACAGCTACTCACTTCGTCTGGTTAGGGTTAACTAACAAGTTAGACGAGAGCGATGTCAAGGCTAGCGTGGCTAGTAGCCCAATGAGCGCCAGATAGCCGACGCATTGCGCCACTTTAATGCCAGTTTCAGCCCACAAGGAACAAAGAATAGTCACGCTGGCATCTTGTATGATCCATTTAAACAACCCACCAATTAATATCAAATGTAGTAACGTTACGTTTAGCACAGACCGTTAACAAGCTCGCTCCTTAGCCACAATAGAAAGCTAACATAAAAACGAACAAGTGACTCCCACAAACCTCTTTTATCGTGTTAATCACTGCACGGCTCATATAGCAAAGCAGACAACACTGTAATGAGAATTAATACTTATTTATATTATAATAGTTACCTTATTTTGTTGACGCGGGCAGCCCAGATCCATGGGGCAGCCTCGCTCCGGTCCGGTTTTCAAAAGACAGATGATTGTAAATGGAGGCGGACTTTGCCGCTGCTCTGAACCTGATTGGCTGTTAGGTCAACACAGTGATGTGTAGCTCTTGTGACGGTCTAAGGCCCTGTCCACACGAAGTCAAGCTCAGGCCTAAACGCAAAAATACTTTATCAATCCAGTGTATCGTCCATACGAGGCCGGCGTTTTGGGGGGGTGTAAACGAACATTTATGAAACTTGGTCCCAGAGTGGAAAGATTTCAAAACTCCGTATATGCCGCTCCGTGGTTACTGCCTCTCCGCAATGTATCTGAGACGCTTGCGTCATCGCCCCGCCTCTTGTTAAAGCACGCATGCGCCGCACTCAGAAAATAATGACAACAACAATGTAGCTTGTTGGTTTTGTAATCCAGTGTGACCCGAAGCAACAGTTCAACCTCACCGTCCGTTCATACTAATGTAGTACCAGCTCGCCCACTCGCCATGTTGTCTGTTTACAAAATTCCGCGCATGCCCACGGAAGTTTGGGCTTGATCCCGTCATTGCGTCACAGCGCCACCAACAGGTCTGGCATAGTTTCACAGCGTTTTCAGGCGTATTGACTACATTCATATGGACGCACACATTTACTGAGCTAACTCCGTGTTTACAGAAAAAGTTTCTGAAATTATAAGCGTTTTGTCTTTGTGTGGATATAGCCTAAGTCGCTGGAAGAGCTAAAGCGGACTTAGCCTGCCACCTTGTGGCGATAAGATGTACTATTTTTCACGCAGCTGCGTGATTCCCGAGAAGCGTGAATGAAGACGACAAAACGGAATGGGACCTACTGTAGGATCACTTAGGGTGATGATCAAATCTAACTTTGTCAGTCTAAAAAACAGACACATAATATTTATTGAATTATCAAAACAATAATGATAACATGACATGAATGCCCAGACACAGATGGCTGCTATATCACGTCCAAGTCACGAGGTCATGTGACAACTACCATTTACAATAGAAAGAAAAGATTTACACATGTCAACATCTAGGCCCCGTTTAGACCAGGTTTGTATTTGTAAAGCGGTGTGTGCAGTGGGGGCGGGTCCCGGATCAAAAAATTCCAAAATGACGCGCGCTGAAATGCTTGCAATGCCACACCGGGCCGGTGGCAGTGGACCGGGAATAAGAATTATTCAATGCTAATGTACATATATTCTGACCTCTCGAAAATAGGTTTACAGGATGGTCCAAAAGTCGGCTCTTGGCCCTTATGTTCCACATGTGTGTCAATGCTGAGGGGAGTGTATTATTTTGGACCGCTTTAGTTTAGCCGATGAGTTTTTTCACATTTTCCGGCCCCCACGGCCATTTTGAAACTGCCCATAGACGGCAAAAGTGATACAGTCTATGGGTGTGTGTCGGACTAGCTACATGAATAGAACACGTAAAAGAGATCACAACAAAAAACAGAACCAAGACCCAGCGATAATACACATAAAACCGTAATATCCTCTGAAGTATCAATCAATCAATCAACTTTATTTGTATGGCGCCTTTCCAACACAAGGCCACTCAAAGCGCCTCACAACCCACATAATATCAGACAAATCAGAAACATCAAAAACTACATATACAAACAATAAATACATTAAAAACAGAATAAAATCACAAGTAATGAAAAAAACCTTAAAACATTAAAAGCACACACGGGATTAAAATAATAAATAACCACAATGCATTAAAAAAAAGAGTATGTATCAATAAAATCCTTCAGCCGTATGCAAAGCTAAAAAGAACAGTTTTTAACCCTGATTTGAAAATTGCCAGAGTAGATGCTAGCCTCACATCTTCAGGAAGATTGTTCCAGGTTTTAGCTCCATAAATCTCAAACGCTGCCTCCCCATGTTTAGTTCTGACTCTTGGAACCAGTAAGAGGCTACCTCCTGTGCTCCTCAGAGTCCGGGCTGGTTCATATGGCACTAACAAGTCGCTTAAGTACTTTGGTGCGAGGCCATGGAGAGACTTGTACACAAGCAGTGCTGCTTTGAAGTCTATTCTCTGAGCCACAGGAAGCCAGTGCAGAGACCTGAGAACTGGACTAATGTGGTCATATTTCCTGGTCCTGGTCAGGACTCGAGCTGCTGCATTTTGGACATACTGCAGTTGTTTTACAGCCTGTTTGGAGAGACCTGTGAGCAGGCCATTGCAGTAGTCTAACCTACTGGAGACAAATGCATGGATGAGAATCTCCAGATCTGATTTAGACACTATGTTTCTAATGTTGGCAATGTTTTTCAGATGGTAAAATGCTGCTGATGTTACTGATTTGATATGACTGTTAAAATGTAAGTCTGAGTCCATTATAACTCCTAGGTTTCTGACCTTGCCTACAGGTTCCAGGCAGAGAGACTGGAGGTGACGAATAACGCTCTCTCTTTGTTTCTGAGGACCAAAGACAATCAATTCTGTTTTGTCTGCGTTTAGCTGAAGGAAGTTATTTTGCATCCAATCACTAATCTGTTGAGTAGAGTGAAGGAGTGAGTCCACTGGTCCATGTTCTCCTGCAGTAAGTGAGACATAAATTTGAGTGTCATCAGCGTAATTGTGGTAGGATACATTGTTGGAGCGTATTAACTGACCTAATGGCAGCATGTAAATATTGAACAGAAGAGGCCCCAGAATTTACCCCTGTGGCACTCTGCAGGTCAGAGCCATATAATCTGAGACACAGTTTCCTATCTGAACCAAGTAAATCCTGTCTTCTAGGTAAGACCTAAACCAACTTAGGGCAGTCCCAGTGACACCCACCCAGTGCTCTAGTCTCTGCATGAGGATCTCGTGGTCGACTGTGTCGAACGCAGCACTCAGATCCAACATTACTAAAACTGTGACTTTTCCTGTGTCGGTGTTAAGTCGGATGTCATTTGTAACCTTCACTAGTGCAGTCTCAGTGCTGTGATCGGCTCTAAAGCCGGACTGGAGCGCATCAAAGGAACTATTAGTTACTAAGAATTCTGTAAGTTGTTGGTAAGCAACTTTTTCCCATAAACGGCAGATTTGAAATGGGCCGGTAATTCTTAAGAACTGTGGCATCCTCTTTTTTAGGAGGGGTCTGATGACTGCCGTTTTCAGGGCCATTGGAAATGTTCCAGATGAGAGAGACATGTTCACTATTTGTGTGAGCAAAGGTAAAAGACTGCTCAAAACAGACTTAAAAAATTTAGTGGGTAGTACATCCAGGCTACATGTGGAGGAACTAAGGCTAGAGACAACAAAGAGAGACCAGAGAGAGCGTTACTTCAGAGACACCAAGGGACGTGTACAGGGGCCCCTCCCCTCTCTCTCGGGCCCCTGTACACTTCCCCTGGTGTCTCTGAAGTAACGCTCTCTCCCCCTTCTCTCCCCCCCTCTCTCTCAGGGGGCCTGTTCTTCGCGGAGCCCATGCGAAACAACAAGTACGTGACCATGATGGACCCTTTCCAGATCAAGTACGGCAAAGTGCCCACGGCGGCACTGTCCCTGGCCTCGCTCATCTCCGAGATCATGTGGGTGACCGGGACCCTCATCGGATTAGGTGAGAATGTGTGGGGGCCCCCTGGGGGAGGCGTGGGCAACAGGCGGGGGAGCAGGACCATTTTCCACCAGATCTGTAATTCCAAATGTTAAAAAGTATTTATATTTTGTTTGTTTGTGTCTCTACTTAATTGATTTATTTATAGACCACGATATGTTTCATCTTCTTAGAAATGCTTTACATACTTGAAAGAGCCCTGTGAGTCATTATCTGACATCTGGTCCTTCTGGTCTCTTTCTGGTCTTTCTCAGTCTCTCACTGGTCTCTTTCAAGTCTCTCTCTGGTCTCTCTTTGGTCTCTTTCTGCTCTCTCTCAAGTCTCTTTCTGGTCTCTGTCTATCTCTCTCTGGTCTCTCTGTAGTCTCTGTCTGGTCTCTCTCTGGTCTATCTCTGGTCTCTTTCTGGTCTCTCTTAAAGTAGTACTAGAATTTAATATGCTGCTATCCAGAATATATAACTACAATATGTGTTTATAATATTTCGGGTGTTCATTTTGACATGTTCAGATGAATTATGTTAAAAAAACTGCTTTGAAGTCGCACTTTTTCACTTCAGCATAGAAACGCTAGGGGGAGCCAAAATGGCGGCGATGACGTAGGAGAATGGCATCTCACAGCAGTGGACAGCAGTCTGGGCTGAATCTGTAGGAGGTTTCACTGTCATCTCAACAAGGTATAAACATATTTTCATCCGTTTTGTACATAATAGTGTGCAACTCTTTTAACCTTTTAGCCTTATTTGTGAGATTCAAGCTAATTAGTGTTGGGCAAGTTAGCATGTTTTATGATATCAAGTAGAGTTAGCTAACAAGGCTAACATTCGTTTTTACATTATGTCAGTCACACTTTGGTTGCCTTAGATTTATTTACCACAATGTACATTGTAATATTCAAAAATGCTAACACCTATTAACGGTTTAATTAGCATTTTTATCAATGATTGCATCACATGTAGTCTATGTTTTCAACTTCTGCAGCTTTTTGTTCATAAAAGTAAAATATTTATTTAATTCAAGTTATTTTGATTAGCATTTATGGATATCACAATGTACATTGTGGTAAATAAATCTAAGGCAACCAAAGTGAGACTGGCATAATGTAAAAACGAATATTAGCCTTGTTAGCATGTTTTATGATATCAAGTAGAGTTAGCTAACTTGCCCAACACTAGTTTGCTTGAATCTCACAAATAAGGCTAAAAGGTTAAAAGAGTTGCACACTATTATGTACAAAACGGATGAAAATATATTTATACCTTGTTCAGATGACAGTGAAACCTCCTACAGTTTCAGCCCAGACTGCTGCTGCTGCTGTGAGATACCCTTCTACTACGTCATCGCCGCCATTTTGGCTCCCCCTAGCGTTTGTGAAAAGGTCCGACTTCAAAGCTGTTTTTTTAACATAATTCATCTGAACATATCAAAATGAACACCCGACATATTATAAACACATATTGTAGTTATATATTCTGGATAGCAGCATATTAAATTCTAGTACTACTTTAAGTCTCTCTCTGGTCTCTATCTGGTCTCTTTGGTCTCTCTCATCTCTCTCTGGTCTCTCTCAAGTCTCTCTCTGGTCTCTAACTGGTCTCTTTGGTCTCTCTCAAGTCTCTCTCTGGTCTTTCTCTGGTCTCTTTGGTCTCTCTTTGGTCTCTCTCTGGTGTCTGTCTGGTCTCTGTCTGGTCTTTCTCTAGTCTCCTGCTGGTGAGAAAAAGCTGATCTAAAGCCAACAATACATGCATGTGAAAACCACGGCACTGGTAGCTAGTGTTTTGTTTTGCTTGGTAAGTTAGGTACCCAATGTTTAAAATTAGGAGCTGTGAAACCAGAGCCACCACTGCCAACTACTGACGACAGTGAGAATTACAAGCACATAAATGAACAAGACTGATGTTGAAAAATGGTGTTGTTCATGTCATGAAATAAATACATATAGAAACGTAAAAAAGTTGTAATTGGAGAAATGCATCCAAACCTTCGGCCTCGCACACTTCCTCCAGTTGACACTGAAGAGTCCCAAGGCGTTCCCAGGCCTGAGAGAGACCACATTTAGACTGAGGCCAAAGTGACCCAATTTTAGCCTCTATGTGACCTGCATCTGATCAGTGTATGACAGTCTGAACCACACAAATTAGATTTTTTTCAAACGTGACAGAGGGCCGCTTGGATATGTGGTCCTATATCTAGCTTTAGCGTGAACGGCCTGTGGCCTTCATCCTTCTGGATGGCCTGATAACTCCCTGTTTGAGGACTGCGGCTCACTTCAACTGTTTGAGATTTTGAGCATCTTTTAAGTATTAAGGCAATATCTGATACAATCACATTCACATCTTAAAACCACAATCCCTGCTGTATGACCATAGCACAGTCAAGTGTGTCATGTGTGTCCTGTGGTCTCCTCCCAGTGGGACCTCCCCAGAGTGTCCTCCACCTCTAGCTCCTCCAGTGTGACTGTGCTCCTCTCTAAGGAAGCACCTAGGAAACTCAAGGTCGCTTGTATCTATCTTGTCTTTCCCTATTCCCCAGAGCTCATGAGCATAAGTGAGAGCAGGAACTGAGGCTGAGTGGTAAATCCAGGGCTTTGACTGCAGACGCTGCTCCCACTTCACTACAACAGTCAGATTCAGTGACAGCATCACTGCGGACATCTGTCAGTCTTCCTCTCTGAGAACAAGGCTGAGAGACTGGAACCTGATACTCCTGCACCGGAGGAAGGAGCTCCTCCCAGATGCTTAATTTGTTTAAATCTGCAGGACCTTGAAAATAAAACAAATTAACCTCAAGGAGCTAAAATCCTGGTGTGAAGCTGGCTCCCGCTGAGAGCAGAGGGACAGACCAGGGAAGTCCTCACAGACCATCAGGTGTGGTGGTTGTCTTTTTAACTTCACTATTAAAACTAAACAAGAGCAGGACCACTCTGCTCTCCCTGTTTAGGCCACAGTCTGGCTCAGTGCTGAGGCTGAAGTCTCCTGATCCTCCCCCATGGGACCAGGCCGCCGCCACAGGAGCCGTGTGTACAGTATACAGCAGGTGTCATGTGGCCTCTGTCTGCAGGCCCAGTCCCAGTGTACATGTGCTCCGCTCCTGAATAATGTAGAGGGGGATAGAGCTGATACTGTCTGCAGCCACAACACAACCCCAGGACGTCAACACAACACAAGGACGTCAACACACTGGCAGCACACTGGCTCGAGGTTGTGTGTTTATGAGACAACACACTCAGGTCTGTCTAACTGACAAGACGAGGTAGCAACAACTCCAACATCAACACCATTACCTCTGAGGGGAGGGAGGTATGCTGTTGTCATAATACCATCGTCAAATACTGTCAAATGAGACGAGATTGGATGTATACATATGGCACAGGTGTCAAAGTCAAGGCCCGGGGGCCAGATCCGGCACGCGAGACCATTTCCAGTGGCCCCTGAGACGAATTTAAATTTTTTATATTAAATAGTAGCCTTGATGGTAATAGGCAACAATGGCATGTTATCCATGACTAATTTTCTCAAGAAAACAACCATTACATTTAATTCCATAAGAAATGTTAAGCCAACATGTAATGAGAAGTTAGTATTGTTATGTTTTTTTTTACGAGTCTTCAATTACATTTCTTCTCAAAGGTATGAAGGAGGATTTCCCCTATTTTCCTAGGAAATAACCGCCCTTTCCATCTTTTGAACAAATCTCTCTGGTCTTATTTGACGAGCACAAATCACCAGAATGATTGACAGTTGGGAGGACCAATAGTCTTGATGATCCACCCGAAAATCTTCCTATATACCTATATTTGGTCCAGTTTTAGTTCAGTCTACAGTAACTGAAGTAAGTCGATCAGAAAAGAATAACCAATTTAACTAATGTGAAACAATTCATTTATATAGATAGCTTCATATATACAAAAAAAAGTATAATAAATGAAACCCACTTCTTCTTTCGGCCCCTGATCAGCCCTTTAATTTTTTTTCGGCCCTCAACCAAAATTAGTTTGACACCCCTGACATACAGTAGGTCCCATTCCGTTTTGTCGCCTTTCACGCGTGAATCACACGAGACTCACGTGTGATTCACGCGTCTTTTATTTTCCCCCCTCCCAGTGACGTTGCAATGACCAAAACAACCACCAGGTGGCACTTGTGAGCAGAGTTACATTGGCGAGTTTCTGCCCCGCGCACAATCAATCAACAATGGTTAAAACGGGCAACTCCTTGTAGCAGGCCAGTCTCTGGAATAACCCGCAGACATTAAAACTACTGCATATAACGTAAACTTTTGCATCACGTTGGTGATCTTTCCAAAAAGAGAGAATATCGTTATGGAAAGAGAAACTATTGGTAATATAACGCTGAACGTTATCTGACTCAAACAGCTCCGCTGGTGTCTCCTCCCACTCAGAAAAAAAGCAGACGCCTTTTCTCTGGCATCTCTAACATTTATAATAAATACATAAATATAACAATCATAATGAAGATGCTTTCAAATAATTTAGCAAGCTGTAATTCATTTATTTTAACTGCCAAACTTCTCTCGCTGCTCCTCTCCTCTCCTCCGCAAATCACTAAATGAGGAAAAGGGAATATTCACTCAATCTATTTTGAATGTTACACATACAATATTAATATAGTCTAAGCACGTGTACCACATGTAGCCCGTGTATTTACCACAGACTGTAAGTATTAAAGTAATGAGGCCCCTGCTTTAGGCCTCTGCTGTGAGGCCCACAGTCATCAGTCTCGGTGCCTCTGTGTAGATCACACGTCTGTCCTCGGGCTGGAGTGTTCTGAGGCTTTAAGCGGGGAGTCAGGAAGGAGCGATCCTGTTTGTCAGCATGATTTTTTTGTTTAACAGCCTCCCTGCGCGATTGCAAATGTACTCAAGGGACTCCCATACCGTGGCTCACATATATAATATTATATAGGGATCCGGAGCTTTCTGACCCGACCCACCCGCACCTGACATGACTCATATTTTTGAGGCATCCAACCCGCCCGAAACCGCGG